GTCCCGCTTTAAAATATGCCTGTTCTCGTCGCATAAAGTATTCCAATAGCATAGGTTCCTTATTTAATATTGAATTGATAAGAATCAAAACCAATATAGAACAAGACGAAAATAAAGCGGCGCTTATCAGACTTTTCGCTAATATACTATTACAACTTTTACTTGACAAAAATGGTAGATATTTAAATTTAAAATAGAATTGAACTGAGGATGAAAATTCGTTTATCAAAATAAATAAGAAGTTCAGATTTTCACGAAATTTTGTATTTTGACATGACAATTGTTTCGACAACATTGATGATGACACATTTGATAAATTTAAAATATTTGTTAATGTTATTTTAAACTGGCGTATGTGCTTATAATACTTCCTATATTTGGTTGGTTATAGTTTGCGACAGTCCTTTGTGTTAGATTTATCTAGATAATTTGTTTTCCATTTAGTATAAAGGGTAGTTTAAAATTAATGATTCTGACGTGATACACAAAAACTGTGAAAACTTTTTTTTTCACATGGATCACCCTGTATATTATTTAAAATTCTAAAAGATAATGTTTTCAAAATATTTGCGGTAATTCTAAAACCAAAGTCAAAAAAGTATTTTTTCTAATTTTAATTTAATTATCCAAATATTCTCATAGTTAGTTAAAATCGCTTTCAATTCATATATGTGCCTATACCTCAATGGTAAGGTGGCTCTTTTATAATCGAGATTTAAAAACTGAAAAAAAAAAACAAATTGAAATGGACATTATTACGTGAAATTCAGAAGAAGCTTTGAAAATGTGCATAAATTAAATTAAAGGCGTGTAAGTCAGGATACGTTTGGTTACGTTTTCTACATTTTAATCCGTCGCCACTTTCCACATATAACAAAAAAAATCGTAATTTCATTTGAAGAAATTTTTATCCATTTCAGTTCTATCGTCCTCAATTAGTCTCGTTAATAAAATATTTCTTTGTCAATGCAATGACTGTTGTTATACTCACAAATATGCCCAAATAATTTGAATTTATTAGAAAACTGCTTTTAATTTCGAAAACCATTGGGGAATTTTGACTTACTTTTGGTTAGATTTTTGAATACTGATTTTTTGTTGTTGTATACATTAGCATAAATTAGATATGTGTTAAAAGAAGGAACTATTGCGAAGCGTTGTAATTTTAATAGTATATTATGCAACAAGAGTGTGTGTGTGTGTGTGTGTGTGTGTGTGTGTGTGTGTGTGTGTGAGTGTGTGTGAGTGTGTGTGAGTGTGTGTGAGTGTGTGTGAGTGTGTGTGAGTGTGTGTGAGTGTGTGTGAGTGTGTGTGAGTGTGTGTGTGTGTGTGTGTGTGTGTGTGTGTGTGTATGTGTGTGTGTGTGTGTGTGTGTGTGTGTGTGTGTGTGTGTGTGTGTGTGTGTGTGTTTGAATCACGAGTTTATTTGGCACGAGCAGCGAAGCAATTGTTTAATAAACGAGTGAATTAAAAAGTTTAGATTTTGCAAAGCAACACGAATACAATTCACTGACATGACCGTCAAAATTGACAAACGTCAAAATTTAAGTCGTGCCGTAAAATCTCAGAAAACATCCCATTGCTCCCAAATCCGTGCGGTGAAATCGCGGAAATGGCCGAAGTGGCTCGGATCCATGAGAAAAGAAACTGACGTGGTAAAGTCACGCTTTCCGCACGCTAGATCGGTGTATAATTAGGTATTTTACAGAAAGGAGTAGAAAAAATATTTTATAATATTGTGTAGAGGACTATATCCACATAATGAATAATATAGTTGTAGAAATTAGAAAAGAATTTATAAAACTGCACTTTCTAACAAGGAGAAAATTATTAATTTTTCAAAGAAACTTCCACAGGTTACTGTAATACTATTTATAAATCTTCTGCCTTCCTCCTGCATTAGTTGTTGATGAATTGGACTTGCTGGGTTTCGCCAATCATCCTGTTTGCTTCTTCAAAGCTTTAGTGAAACTTTGCTTCTGGCGAAACGTCAACAAGAGCGATTAATCAATAACACAAGAGGAATCGAGAAGATTTTTAAATAGTAAGACGTGCCAATTTTTTAGAATTTTTTTTGAACTTGGGGTCAGTTTTTAACGACGCAAACATTTGTCATTGCCTATTTGAACACTGACTCATTCGGCATTTTCACGGCCACAACGCGAATGAAACCATCTGGAATTACTTTTACAGAAAGATATGCAAATGAAGATGGGGTGTTACATAGTACCCCAATTATGATGTAAAATGGACTTGCATAATCGCTCCGCCCGTGCCAAAACAAGTGACTCAGGACCTACGGATGCGAGCCACTTCGGACATTTCTGGGATATTACCCATGGGTATGGGTGCAATCGGATGTTTTCGGAGATATTACCCACGGCTCGAATTTTGAAGTTTGGTAATTCTGACGGTCATGTCATACGTCACTCAGTGAATATATTCGTGTAGTTCTGAAAAAATGTACCTAAAAACGAATAGCAGTAGAGAAAGTGTGATAAACTTCTTGAGAAACTCGGTGTTTAATACGTGTTTTTAACGCTACAACAAGAACGCAAGAGTAGAAAGATCACGCGGTATTAAATGAGAGGACTCACATATGTGCGCCGTTACCACACCAACCGGATGCCATTTAGGACCATGTAATTTTACCATCTCGTCAAATCGGAGCGTTCTGACAGCAGCATCTATAATGTAACACCCCACTAAAGCGCCCCGATAGAAAGTTCCTATTCCAGGAGCAAAAAGTATTGGACGAATACTCATCGTTTCAGGCCCAGAATTTAAAGAAACATTTGTCTACTCCAATATTGACAAAATTGTTGATACATCAAAGCAACCGAATTTTGCAGTTATCAGAAACCTAAGAAACTTCTAAACCGACAACATAGGAATTACAAAGGCGGGTTCTCGTCAAATGATTAGAGACTACCCCTATTCAGTGTGCGTGTGGACAATCTTTATCGCACTGTGTCCAACATCTTCTACGTGAAACATTGGGCGTCCGTCTGCCTCCTTTATGAAGTCGCACTAAAAGTCTTGTAGATTAGTGTTCATTTAGGTCTATGATTCATCGCAACATGGCGATCCTCAAGCCCTTCCAGCAGTTTTTTAAACAGGAAACGGAACTCACCGAGGCCATAGACGTGCTATGCTGTCGTACTCAGGAAGCTGTTGATTGATGTTTGGGTCACTGTAGAGTTCCATACTATCAAGTTATTCAAGCAAATTTGTTGTTTTAACTAGAACACAGGAACTGCCCATCGAATATTACCGTGTCGCATTCATTGTGATTGAGGATGTGCCAATTTATTCAAGATGTTCACTGGACGGCTCTTAGCACCAGATCTCGTAGTTCCATTTAGAGAAGGCGAAGATAGACAGAATTGATCTCGTGAGTAATTGATTCCTTCGACAATTGACCGCGAAAAACACTGGATATCCGGTTTTGGATCGTGAAGTTCGGTGAATTTTATCCCCCCCCCCCCCCTCCTCAATCATCCTAACCAACCACCATCTTTAAATATAGCGCCGGCAGAGTCATGATCCAGAAATGTAGCTGAATTTAGAAGAGGCGAAAACACCAATTTCCTCGCCACTAGGAGGCAGCCGATTAAGATTACTAGGAGCTCAATTCGTTGAGCTGGAAGAAGTTTCCAAACTTCTCATGAAAGAGGTACTATACTTCCTTGAGAGTAACTTTACAATTCTGATTGCAATTTTTTTAACGAAAAGCGTAGGAGACAGTTATAAATAATTAATAATAAAAGTTGTTGCAATCTTTCAGTGGGAATTGAGATAAAATACAGGGTGCTCCATTCGAAAAATCAAAATTGCTATTGGTTTCGTGTAGATCTGACAACACTGCATTAACGAAAATATATCGAAAAAAGTTAAAAAACTTCCCACGATAAGTTTGGAATTCGGGGACTTCTGAGGAGACCTTATGATGAGTTTTGTTAGGTTTCTTACCTATTTTCAACTGTTTCTCAGATAACTTGATCTTTTTGAAAAATTTTGCAGATTTATTCCTATTTTTAACAGTAGAGCTTTTATATATTTTTGATTGCTGATAAACCCTTCAGCAATAGACTAAATCAGGAGAGTAATACTAACCGATTAATTCATATTCACCCGGCAAATTTTCGGATAGCAGGATGCAGAATTCAATTCTGCATCGACTTGCTATAATACAGTGAAAGAGAATTAACCACGAAACTATCAGTTTCCGCTGTAAAGGTTTTTAATATAGTACGAGATATTTTGCTAGAAAATAGGTTGGAGAACAATAGGTGGAATGGGTAATCCTGGTTTGTGAATTTTCTCGTTTCTATGGAGTTTCCAAATAATTTAAAAATATTATAAAGGAGTTAAGTGCGTGAAATTTAGGGACCTGCATTTTAGCGAAACGGTGTGTGGATAGGCCGGCACAAAAACTCTCAATCAGCATTGGGAAACTTTATTTTATATTAGAAAAATCTATAAGTGGCTTTTGCCATACAAAAGTACCCAACCTACCTTAACAAAAGATCAGGCAAACATCAGGTGAAGTGTATTGACACAATACGGCGATATAACAGTCCACAGGTTCTCTTGATATGAGAAATATCTCAAATTACACAAGTTCTAGAAAAATAAGCACTATTGGGTCGGATGCTGGCCCACAACTATCTTCTTGTCGGGCGTTACCGGCTGTTGCTCCATACTATAATCCTATAATTGTAGGAGCGTCCTCTATCAAATTATAATTCAACTCGCAGCCACGAATAAAAACATATATATGACACACATGTCATAAATTTGTTTCGCTACAGCGTGGAAGACCATTTCCCTTCCCTTTTGTACGAAACTGTCATAGATGCATGAGCCGCATCAAATGTATTTACGACCCCTATATCATTTAATAGTTATTCTTCTTCAGAATCAGAATCAATATCGTCAAAACCAAACATTCGGTTATGATAGGTGACACAACTCAATTAATTAAAAAAAACACATGGTTTGATCTAATTTTAGCTTTTATTCAATTCTTAAAAGAAAATATTATGTACAGCATAAAAATAAATATTTTCAGTAAATAATTTTTCGAATGTACAAATATTACTACAATATGTATTCGCAAATCCATGATAATCAATAAAAAATTACAAATATATTTGACCGAACATAGAAATCAAGTGGGTCTTGAAGAAACTGAGATGGGGAAAAATCAAATTACTTTATTTTTAAAAATTGGTGATAAAATTAAAATTACAAGTTTAGACAACTATAGTGGAATATTATTGTAGAAATAACGTTTGAAAAACAAAATCTGAGAGTATAAATGATATAAAATAAATTTGTACTAGATTGAGGAAGCACTAAATCCACGTAGAAGAACTGCACTTAAGATATGTAAAAATCCCACCCTTTCTATATATATATATATATATATATATATATATATATATATATATATATATATATATATATATATATATATATATAATTGATAGATCAATTTTTAATATACAGTGTGTTGAAAAAAAATAAAAGGCGGGTTTTTCCCATTTCCATCGAAGAAGATTAACACATTTATCATTTTTTACGTTTCCGAGAAACCATCATCAGCTTCGATTTTTTTAATATAGACCTATTTTCTCCTTCAGTTCTTCTTTTCTTTCTAAAAACGATAATCTTTTGCACTATCATAAAAATGCGGGACTGTTTTTTAAAAAGGAAATGATGGCATGCATATACGGACGTCAAATTTAATACCGCCATGTTGGAGGAGTAAAAGTTGCTTTTGCGATTAGAAAGGTAGAGAATCAAAAATCATCTCATTCAATGCGTCCTGGTCAAAAATGATGTAATGCTTCCTCATTTGCAAAATTGGATATTTATCAAAAAGTATAAAAATTAAACAAACGCACCTCTGAAGTATATTTTAATCTGTGGTTCAATACACACAGAAAAATTTTAGACTTGGCAATACAGTAACATTTTCCATCTCGCTTCCATTCATTTAAAATCTCTGTATAGCAATTTTTTTTTTTCAAAATTTTTTCAGAGGCGCTACACACTCCACACTATGTTAAATATTGCACACGTTTTACCTGGCGATCACTTGATTTCCCCACAAACCTATTGTACAGTTACCAATATATCGCGAACCATCATGAAACTTAACTAGCAAATTAAATCAACTTTTCAAGTCACTTATCTTATTTTTTATAAATTAAACCTAAACCATTATCTTTTGGAGAAAACACTGTTAGTTTAGTCCTTTTGTCACGCGCAAGCCATTTCCTGCTTAGCAGTTTTGAGTGCTGAAATTTAAAACCCAAAAAATAATATTTTGTTTGCTCGCAAATTTCGTTATTTACCTTCTCTCTCACGCCTTCTGATTTTCTTTCTCCGCCTTTCTACGGCCGCGAGTTCCGTCTTTACGTCGGCATAGGTTTTCCGCAACTCGGACAGCTTTTGCTGTAGTACGGCTATTCTCTGGGTGCTGTCTAAACTGGGATCTAAAATATTAAACAGAAATCTGAAGAAAACGGAACGAAATAATAATGCAAAAACGTAATGTGAACATTGTCCCTTTATTTCTTTTCCAATCTACATCACTTGCGACGGACTTGTTTATTTACAGGGTGGGTCAACTCGAATTATGAGCAACTTACTAGTTCAAATGAAAATTGGTCATCTGCAACCATTTGTCCGCCAAAACTTTGAAACTTAAACAAGTCTACGTAACTTTTTTATTTTTAAAGATAAGTGAAATTTGAAAAAATCATCTCCTAGGCAAATTTTTATGCAAAATAAGAAAATATCTAAATTTTGTACATATTTTAAAAATTACGGTTTCAAATTAGTATGACGCATCAGATCGGTAATTGCCTCATCGACCCAAATGCAATTTAGGCCAAAATTTCGATCTTTCCCTCATATTTGCAAATACTATTTTTCTATTATGGTCGTCTGGTAGTAGATAATGCATTTTCCTAGTTTTGTAGATTTTGTAGTAATCATCCTTTTAATATTCGCTTCGCTGAAAATCTCAACTCCAACCAAAGCTTCGAAACTTATTGTAGAGCATTTAGGATGTGGTGGTTCGAGAATTCGAAGTCGACTTGACTTGCTAGTGCCCGGACGATTGTTTATACTTGATTTTGTTGTCTTTGCTTGCCGAGTCCGAGAGACTCGCCGGCAACATTGTATTTTATTTAAGTTGTAACTGAATTAGTTACCAATAAATATCTGGAAAGTCTTGTATTAGTCCTATTCCTGCAAACCGACCAATCCACATAAATTCCTGAGAGGCGGGGAACTATCTCAAGGATTTTGCGATTATTTCCCCGAACTTTAACCGTTTAAAAATAACTGCAGCTGACTGCCTACGTTCAGGATACCTATCAACGTATAAATTAGCGGCAGCGTTAGAACTTTCCTTGGCATCATGATAACATTTAATCATGTCGTATTTTTGATAATGTTCACACATTTCTTTAATAATATAACAATAAATATAACTATTTAACAATCAACAAGACGTAAACTTTATCCGATTGACTACTGACTGCTGACAGTTGCTTCGAAGTTTTGCCAAAAGCTTCATATTTAAATACTGAGTTTATAAACAATAATCATATAGCTACTACAGGTATAGAGGCTCTGTCTGTGCCAATAATACAGGAACTTATGATGCAACTATGAAAAAAAAAATTGACAAGTTCCATTCGACACGCACATGCGCAAGATTTAAAGTCTGTTTCTAACCAATGACCTTGCGATATTCAATAACCCGCATGGCCGCTGACAGATCGTTAATAAGTTTAGATGCGGCATTTTTACGTCAGTATTTTCTCAAATTACACCTAGATCTGTTAAAGTTAATTGTGTAGTAATGGTAATTTGTATTAGTAACACGTTTGGTAAACTTCTTGTTACTCGTTTATGAAACAGTCGCTGAATATCATGAATAATAAAAATTATAAGCTAATGTAAACTATGAAAGAAAAATATGATTAAACTAAACATTAGTAACAACGTACAATTTGCAGTTCTACTTGAATGAAGAAATTTACTTTGTTTTTATGAATTACAATTTCGTCAGAGTCTGTGCCCCAGATGCATCTGATTTTGAAATATAATAATAAATTATATAACTAAATTTCTGAAATTCTAAAGTAACTAAGTTTGTTAATTTTTTTTATGATCAAATTTTTTTGATGCGTTTCTGTAGAAGAACAACCCACATGAAAAAAAAAGAAGAAGGAAAGACAGACAAAATATGAATTATTTGCAAACATTTTCAGATACTGGTCCAATTGTTTCCATTGTGACCAAAAAGGTGCAAAAACTAGGGCCCAGTTTTTTCCCATAAAAAGCACATAGAAACTTAGCTGAATTCAGGAAAATAGTTAACTAAACTTATCAAATTTAATAAAACTATTACTTATGAAGATCGCTTCTTGAAAAGAATGTAGTTATTCACAAATAAAAATTCAGAATTTATTCTAGACAATCCAGATCAATAAATGCTTAACAACAAAAAGTAAACAAATATTATTTCTTGTTGTTTTGGGCCGCTATTTATGAGTATTTTTAAAATTCAGGCCACACTAGATCTTTAAATAATAAATTATTTTATATTTAGATTTTAATTTAACATTGCCACTCAGAATACCCTTTCACAGTTTTTGAAAAGAGGCCTTATGAGTAATTTTTATATATTTTATTCACTAATATGCGCATCCGCGGTCATTTGGAATCTGGTTGTTAACCAATACCAAACGTCATTTCAAACCAACCTGTAGCCTTTTTTACGGCAGTATTTTTTCAAGAAATTTAAGAGGCATGCGTAGATCATTCCATATGGCTACTAGAGATATAGAGGACCTGTCTAATGCTGATAATACAGGAACTTATGAAGCAACTTTGAAAAAAAAATGAGAAGGTTACCAACATCAACAACCAACATGTTCACTAACAGATCGTTAATAAATTTGGTTGCTGTATTTTCTCAAAATATGCCTAGGTGTGTGGAAATAGCTGTTGCTGTTCAGGTTAGTGTGGGAAATGTGGAGGCATGCGCGGAAAATAATTCCCTTCTCTGCGGCGCATCAATTTTTACCGGAGTAGGGCTCTACGAAAATATCATAGCCTCCCGAGACGACCCAATACATAATATATAAATTTTCCACATAACCCAAAAAAAATTTTTAAATCGGCGGAATCAATCAATGAAATCTGTAAAATCTTTCTACTAAAAAATAGGTATGCTGTATTGGTCGGGTTTGATGACGTGACTAAATGTTTATTTGGTATCACTTACCGAATTCCACAAAGAAATTATACTTGGAGGGTCTCGGCGATCTGGATGACCTATCATAAACGGAAGTGGTGCTTCCGGGAGTTGTGCCACCTACGCTTCCTCCGGCCGAATGTTCAGACGCATCGTCACTGTCGCTATCTCGTCGATGTCTGGTCAGCGGCTTCCGGCCGCGTTTCGCTCCGCATGCCGGGGGCATCTGAGTGTCTTCGGAGGTGCGCAAGGAACGCCTTCTCTTTCGGCAGCCTAGCGGCGGACCGCAAGGGTCAGACGGTCTTTTCGTGATGGTGTAATCGAGTGTCATCTGTGTATCTGAAACAGAGTGGGAAAGTAATTTTATTTTATTTATTAAATTGAGGGGATCAACCATTTGCAGCACTTCAATAACAATAATTATAATATCTGTCTGTATCTCATATCAAATCATGTATCACTTAAGCCATTTGTTAGAAATGTTTGTTCTCAGAGTTTGGGTTATTCAAGATTTCTTTTCATTTAATATTTTTGAGGTCACTCCGCTTCCAGATATATCGGAAGTCACCATTAATATCCTATCCTAATTTCAAATGTATATTATTTTATTTATGGCTTTCTGAAGAAAGTTTATGATTAATTTAATAGGGATTCCTACCAACTTTATACTGTTTCTCAGATATCGTGATTTTTTTTTGAAAAATTTTACAGATTATCCCTATTTTTAACAGTGGGCCTTTTATCAATTTTTGATTGATGATAAATGCTTTTGCAACAAACAAACGGAGAGTAATACTTTTCAAATCCGTATTGAAAATTGATTTACCGCATATAGGGAGTCAAAAATAGCAGGAGCGTAATCTTTTGAAATCCGTATTGATAATTGTTTTGTCAAAAAATTGAACAACCAATTAGATTATTTTCAAAGTCAAAAAAATTCAATTTTTCAATCGATTTGCTATAACTTACCGTATAGCTATTTTCGACGGTTTTTTTTATATCTTTTACAAGTTCTGAGATAAGGGTCATCCTATAATAAACGGACCACCCAGTACTTACAGTTCATAATTTTGTTAGGAATAACAACATACAAAAAAAATTAGATTAGGTAATTAGCGACTGTGTTATAAGTTTGCAAAAACTTTTATTGTATAAATGAGTTTTGATCTGTGTGCCCATTTCACAATGGGAACAGAAAGCGACCAAAAACACAACTTTTGTTACATCAATTTTGAGAGCTTTTAATATTACATCCGGAATATGATCGAAATATGATCTTTAACACTTTCACATAAGGTTATCGATATGATTGCAGTTCCAATGAGGATCAATATATTTCTTTTTCAAAAATAATTTCCAGTATTTTGTCTTGGCTCATTTACTTAATAATTTTTTTTTTAAATTTTTTGGATCATCCGTTTCCCATAATATCGTACCTCGTCGCCCTTACTAGAACACTGTATATAACTTTAAGTCATCAGGAAAGATCAACCGAGATTTCCAGGTTACCTTGATACCATTTTATCCTTAATATAAGTTTTTTTAAGTAATTTCGAATTTATAATTCGTTATTGAAGATTTTTAATTACTTCTTATTCCTTTCCTATTTAAGTGCAACAGATCAGAAACCAATGAAAACAAAACAATTTGCCTTAAAAGTTAATAACAAAGTTCTTAAGAAATAATGTTAAAACCAGATTTACCACTCTCAACATCTTCGGCACGTCAAAGACAAAATTCCGTTTGAGACAGTAAGAGTTGGAGAGATTAGACATAAAATATCAACTATGCCAAAAGAACATGAAAGAGCCTTTATTCTATGGTAAATAAACTCGATCAACATCAAATCTTATTCGACCAAACTAAAATTCTTGCACATAATGAATTCCTCTACCAAAGAAAAATCAGAAAATCCGTAGAAATCTCTAAAGAAGAAGAAGAAAGTCTCACCAATACGGGAATCAGTCATATCGTCCTTCTAGCCCCACCCCCTATGTGACTTTGAAAATTTAAAAACAGAAGGCTTAAAAACCACAAACAATGGAAATATTCCAGATTGGATAATTAAATACTCCGACTTAATTTAAGAACTGACTTTTTTAGGTCGACCCTTAAATTCTGAGCCTTTCAGATTTTACAGATTAGTGAATTACGCTAAATCTTAGCTGAAGTGATTTATAGTGAATATAGGGTAAATATTTGAACTTATTATAGGATTAATAAAATAAAAAAAAAATGTGCATTGGATTTCAAAATAATAAGACCCACACACTTTGAGAAAGCAGATTTGAGAACTATCACAGCCAGAACTAGTTAATACCGGACTTACCTTCTTCACTATAAGGTGACAGTTTGACCAATGAGGTTCTAGAGTGAGTCGCGGGAAATTCCGATTCGCAGTCGACAGATTTTCCGCTATCATTTGTGTTTGGTGAAATGTCATCGGGCTCACTGAAATTGTTTAAAATCATTTTTCAATTTTGCACATTAAACAGTTTATTGGTAAAAAATTATACAAAGTTCTGTTACAGATCAAAAGAGAAAAAACATATTTTTTAAAATTATTGTTACAACTTGCCAAAAATCCAAAGTAATTAAATTTAAAGTTTAAATTATATTTATACAGGGTGAGTTTTTTTTAATGGCGACAATACGAACACATTTTCTTTTCTGTCTAAATGGCTTATCAATATTACAGGAATGCCAACCATGCGAGAATAGTATGACATAGGTGAGAATGAAAATTACTATGATGAGCTGTTAGCACGGGTTCCCTGGAAGAGCTAGAAATAGTTATCGGGATAACTTTTTTGATAATGTAAAGTTGATCAATGAGAGTTGGTTCATAATAACTGAAGGATGATAACTTATAAAATGTTTTGTGTTAAGTTTGTTCCCTTGTACTTAACAACGAGGGACCCCATACTTGACCTGATGCTTTTTGGATTGAAATGAACATACTGATCATGATCAGATTAGAGATATACTGGTCAAATTTTGAAATGTATAGATTGACAGTTCTTTTAATAGAATGTTATGTTGTCATTCAACAACACTATTTCACAGGTGCACAGACGGCGCTGCGTTACCGACTGAAAAATTTCTTATATCACAACCATCTTTAAGAAAGGAAGAGATTTACAGAGGTTAATCCCAACGAGTATATAGGAAAATTTTAAAAAAGAAAATAGAATCTGAATACAAAAACATGGAAGTAAAAGAGCAAGCGGGGTTTAGAGCTTTAGGGTCTACATCAGATCATTTGTATACAGTGACACATGAGTTAGAGAAAAACACTATCAAAAATCAGGAGGTACATCTCTTCTATATAGATCTTAGGATATTACAGCATACCTCTGCAAAAATTGTGGGAGCGCTCAAAAACATATATGAAAACATAACAGCTAAACTCATTATCTGAAACCATACCAATAACAATCAAGGATTCCGCCTCTTGCCTGTATTACTCAAAATATATCTCCAGGAAGCCTTACAAAAATCGTTGAGCAAATGCAGAGGAATGGGAATCCCATGGTGTAACAATAAAAATACTTTATAAACCCTTTTCCTTGCAGAAAAGCAAATACTTCTAGTCCAAGATCATGATCACCTAGAGCAAGAAGACTATGGAAAATGAAAGAAAAAAAACGAAAAGTATGACAGTAGGAGGAAAGTCGAAAAATATAATATTGGAAGATGGAAAAATGAAAATGAAAAATTGCAAAGAGTATAAATATCTGAGGGTAAAAATTGCATGTAACGACTCACTAGATGAGCAATACAAAGAAATTAATAATACAATTCAGAAAAGGAATATCCATGCTAAATGGGGTTCTGTGGAACCGAAGTGTCCCCAAATGTAATTAAAAAACTATATAACAACACATATGGAAGTGAGGTATGACAAAAATAACAAAACTAAAAACGTGCTTCTAGCAACTGAAATGGACTTTCGGAGCAGATCCGCTGAAAGATCAAAGAAAAAAAAGTTAAAAAACACAGCAATAATCAACGACATAATAAGGAAACAGCTTATACTCGTACAGCGAATGCACAAAAATCAAATACCGAGAGGACCATGGACAGTGGAAGAGAAATTAAAAGAGGAAGACCCAGAGAATGAGGGAATACACAAAGAATTGAAAGAAAGAGGAGGTTGAGCATCGGTAAACGAAGTAGAACGTTCTATATATATGTTGCATATATGGCTAAAATATGAAACAAATTCATTTAAAAATCAAGTATTTAATTTCAATAAAAATGCTCTCACACGTCCATCATATTTTATTTTGGGCATTTTTTCTGCAGTAAATAGACAGTAGATATACAGGGTCGATCAAAAAGTAGATGTCGATACCAAGTTACTTTTTTTTTAATTGAACGATATTTTTCTAAATCCATTTTTGAATTCTGTGTCAAATTTCACGCATAATTCATGTTGCATATCTTAAACCTATTTTTTTTTATGAGTTAAAGAATAAAAAAACAGAAATGTAATTTTGAAATGACGGGTAAGTAGCTAGTACCAGTAAAGTTCTTAAATTGTCACAGTTACATCACATTTCAGTAAAGAAAGTGAATATTATGCTATATATGAAATATGCCTCTATATGAAATTCAGAGAATTGAAAATTTAATTTTTATTGGATATGGACACAAAACGAGAACTCAACGTTTAACACAAAATATCCAGAAAGACCCAATACAAGATCAACAGCGAGTAAAAGCGAAAAGTTATAGAAACACATTTATTTCTATAGGTACCCTCCCGATAAAGTCAGGACGCAAAAATGTTTATACAGGAAAATTAAAACTTACTCTCTAGGCGACAAGTTGCTGACGGTAGTCTCTGGAGTGGTAGGCGGGGTATTATCAATAACTGCCTGGACATTGTTGCCTCTTCGTTCATTGTCTGCGACCGGGGTAGAAGGAGCAGGCGATATCCTCTTTTGCTCCAACAACATTTTGCTGTTGCTCATACCTGGGGCACTGGCAAACGGAATTTCGTGAACCTAACAGGAAATTATCATTTGTTTACTACCTTATAAAAGCTGTACGAGATATTTTACCGATGAACTACTCTGAACGTCGTTCTTTCCAACAAATTCGGGCACCGGTGCTGGACTTCGGGGTATTTCCTCTTCGCAAAATAAAAGAGAATGCAGGTTCGACTCCTGCTGGTCTTCTTCGCCGGGTTTCTCACTTTCGATCACAACTTCTTTAGACAGAACTTGAGGCTCAATCGGGTCTTCGATTTCCATGTCGCAGTCCTCGTCCTGAATACTATCAAATTTGAAATTCCTCTCTTCCGATTGGGATTCAATCTCCTCGTCGGTTCTTTTTGGTAACGACACATTACTGATGTCGTTATCTTTCGAGTCCAATAAGGGCTTGAGGGAAAATTCCGTATGGGACTCGTCATCCGATCTCACTATTATAAGCTGCTCAGAATCGCTACTGTCACTGTTAAAATCTTCATCGAAAGTTTTGCTGGGAATTCGTTTGCTCTTTCGAGGTTTTGTCTCTATTGCTGACGTTTTCGATTCTTCGGTTACAACTTTTGTCTCCAAAGAAGCACTATTTTCCTCCTCTTTGTTGGTTTCCGTCTTTTCTGTCTCAATTTTCACTTCCTCCACCTTTAGAGTGGTTTCGTTTTTCCCCCGCTCGATTTTAATATCCGCGTTAATGTCGCAATTAAATGTGTCCGGAGGATCCGTTTTGACGAAGCTCTTGGTCTCGATATTGTTTTTGATGAAGCTGAACTTCTGCAGAATTGAATCGGCGATTTTCGTACCAGTTTTGACAGTAAGCTCCTTTCCAGTGTCGTCCACTTTTGGGTCTAGGATCATCGGTGGTTTGGATACTATCGATTCCAATAACGAGCTGTCCGTCTCCTGTAAGGCTGGAGAAATTAGTTTTGCAGCAAAATTGGTGTCCTTTTCTTCAGCTGGTTCAGGTTCCATCTCTAGTTGGGTGTCATCAGAACTTTCCTACACAAAGACGTACATTGTTTTTAGTCTTCATTGTATTTTGAAAACTTTTCAGTTTAATAGAGGAGCAGCGGGTATCATGGAGAACAGTTTTTTTTATATCTGATCTTTATTTCGAAGGAAAAATTAATGGGTTGAAATTTTAAAAACTAAAGCGAATGATAAAACTTTTTCAAAGGGGAAAATAATTATAAAAAACTTCGGACGTCATTAGTCATGCCCGTTTATCGTGTGTTGGACTATACCGAAGGGAACGGGAAACGACTACACTAACTTGGAACCAAAACATAACGGCCGTCAGTCCCGAGCATCTCTTAAATAAGGAGAGCATGCGAGGAATCTCCGGGTAGAAAACTACAAAGAGAATAGGAACATGGAATGTAAGAACTGAGTAAGGCTGCTAACTTGAATAAATGGAGAGACTCTGGGATGCAGTAAAGTGAGCGACGTGGCCCAATGCGGGTATGTACATGTGTTATGGGAAAAAATGCAATGTATTATTCCGCAGTTAAAAACGAACAAAATAAAATTGACTTGTTGGGGTATATATATATATATATATATATATATATATACCCCAACAAGTCAAAGTAAGTACAGATGCAATATAACAATTGTTAAACAGAAACATGGTACCAAACATACTAGAGACTTCAATGCCAAGATAGAAAGATAGAGAAAAATAACATAGTGGGTAAGTTTCGCCTTGGAAAAAGGAATAAGACAGGAGACAGACAGTTTAATAAAATTCTGTAGAGATAAATCAGTATATGTAGTATAATGAACCGCTTTTTAAAAGTAATACTACACCACTAGACGCGTGGAAATCTCCAGCCTTAGAAGTAATTTTGACGAAGCAACATAAAAAAAATACAGTCATATCATAAAATGCTAAGAATATCCTCATATATGTCTCCATCTTATCAGGGAAGGCAAAATCAATATCAAGAGGGGACCAGAAAGAATAATCAACTCCTGGCTTAAGAACCTGCCACAATAGACAGATATGCCCTCCATAGAATTATTTAGAGGAGCCACAAATAAGATTAAATACGTAAATGTAAGATAAGGCACCTTAATAAGAAGATTATTCCTAAAATAATTTTATGGTTTTGTTTTTTGTTTTTTTACTTTTCCGCTTTCTCTGATTTTGGTTGCGTTATTTAAGTTTTTGCGTCATTGTATAATAGTGATTGCCTCTAGATTTTTCAACGAAAAAATAATCATATACTTACGACCAACATCTCCTCTTTTAGCTCACTTGGACCGTCGATGACGGGACTCGAAGCGGAAATGCCTAGTATCGATAACGTTTTCGCCTCTTCTTCGGGTTTAATTTGGTACATCAATGGCGTCGCAAGCAACGTATCACAACTGTCATCGTCTGTCGATGAACTCTGAGCTATTACTCTCTGTATCTGGGCTTGCAGCATATCGTCTTCGTCGCTATTCATGGTCTTCCCTTCGTCCGTTTTCCCGCTGGAAAACTCCATGTCAAGAGTGTTTCTGTCAGGTGACGGCTTCGAAAAGTTCGACGTGAATAAATTTTCTGATCTGGTAAATATCTGGGTTTGGGACTCGCAATCGGAAAGCTCCATATCTCTGCTGTACTCGTCCGCCACTTCAGGCAATTCTCTGAATAAGCTTAGTGGTTCTTGCAACACATTTTGAGTCTACAATAACAAGCCTCCAATTAACGAGCAATGGTAACAACAATTGGGAAGTATCAATTAGTATCTCAGCCTTATTTAACTAGAACGCGGCTTAAATTTAAATGCACCCCTGCGTTTTTGGAAGCTGAACAATAATTGTCAATTTAAAAACGTAAAGGTATGCTCATAATGTGACCATCATAAACAGGAGAAAAATGAGCTGCGAGTACCACAACAACATTTTTTTCGAAAAGGGGTATCTCGTTTATTAACAAAGATAGTGCCATGCGAGAAACAAAAGGTGTCTCAAATGAATCAAACATATATTTTTTAAATGGATCAAGCTGTATATTTTTGGATAATACGATTGAGTTTGTCAAGAACATCTTAAAAATATATGGTTGTTTTTAATATTAAGCCTATGATTTAACTTTTGAAAAATATTCGTTTTTGTTACTTTACAATGACCGGTTATTTTAAAAAGAAAATAACAGTCACGTCACATTCAGAAATTGTGAAATGTGAGCCAATATTAAATTTTAAAACTTTGAAAAATACATGCTAGAAGCTCTAGAAGTCTATTTTAAAAGGTTTGCATTATTGTATTTCCTTCTATTGAAAACCATTTAAAATCATTTATTACTTATAGATCTGCAGAACGATTTTTTTTTGTCAGATAAAAACAAATTTTGATCTTGATATTGCGAGTCTCAATGTATGATTTCTGTCGAACAAGATGTTTTATTCATTTTTTAAATGGTTTTCCACATGATTTCTTGAAAAGATTTCAATCCCACGGTACGAATCACAAAGCTCAATTCGCATCATTACAACTTTGTTAAAACTTACCGCATTTACAGGTTTATTGTCGGTCGATTTTTCGGGGCTGCACTTGATTAAATTAAAACTGGGCGACTCCACCAACTTATCGAAGGGATCCACCTCCTTAGGAACATCAATTGCACCAACATTTTGCTCCACTTCAATTTCCTCCTTCTCCTCCTCCTCCTCATCTTCTGAATCTGCCAAGATTTCCCTTATGGGAATCCTGCTGTAAGTCCTCTTCTCCATGTGTCCTTCTTCAGATTTATCTGTACTGGACTTAATGAGCTTGGCTTTTGATGAATTTTCCAGTTCTTCGAAAAGCCTAGGCAGACGCTTCTTAACGTTCTTTTCTTCCACTAATTTGGATCTTTCAAACTCAAATGGCTCTGGTTCCTTGAACTCGTAAATGTCGTCAGAATTTAACGACTTTTCCGCTTCAGCCAACTTAGGATCTACAATTCCTTCGGACTTGTCTTCTTTTTCTATGGGCGGGGATGACGCATATTCATCAGATGACTCTAAGCTTTCTTTTTCAGAGTTTTCTCCACTCGACACTTTTAGCACTTTGGTGAAACCCTTGAGCTCTGATCGGATTTGATTCAAATCAAAGTCGCGGCCCTTGGGATGGGTTAGACTATCTTCCTCGCTCTCATCGGGAGATTTGTCGGTTTTTTTCATTCTCTTTACCTTCTTTGGAAGAACCTCTGCCCCCTCTTCTTTTTCTGCATCTTCGACACCTTTAACAGGCTCCTTTTTCTTCTCAGTTTTTGGCTGAAAAGCAAACATCTTTAGAGTGACCTTACCAAATTGGAACAAATCACATACCAATAATGGCTTAATTCTGTTTTTGTATGTATCTTCAGTCTTAATGCTACCACTTCTTGTGCGTGGCAATTCCATCTCATTCTCAGATATGTCACTCTCGCTGTCCGATTGTACTGATATGTCTGTTTGAGCAGATATCCGTCTCTTCCCAAAATCTGATTATAAAGAAAAGACACATAGAGTTCCAGCGGTAGAATTGGTGTTAAGACAAGAACCTTGTTTCGCTGCCAATCTATTGGACCTAGTCATGGGCACGGCAGGACTTTTTGTTCGACTGCTTGAAGAGGTGACACTAGCTGGACTGCTAGACCTTGGGGTTTGGTCTGAGGCTAGTCGACTGGATACGGAACCGCCTCTCGCCCTTTTGGAGGCGGTAACTTTGGACGAGGTGGCCACTGGAATTGTTTTACTGCTTATCGAGGGTGTGCAAGATTTACTCTTCTTTGCTTTAGTGTTGGCGCTCAAGTTTTCAGCTACTCTAGTAGTCGGTATCCATTCGTCATATCTAATAAAAATACAATATAGTATAGATTTTTATTATAAGCAAATGAAATATTGTTCATTTAAATATTGTTAAGATATGGACACTAGAAAGTGGTTCAAAGTTTAGCAAAAGCAGATGGAAATAACAATAAAAGTAACAGCGTAATTTAAGATCCGTTTGTACAAGGAATGAAAAACGAAATGCCGGACTTGACGCAACATATGCGAAATATAAATAATAAATAAAAAATATAAATAAAATAAAATAATATAATAATAAAGAACCCTTCCAACAAAACATCAATATTGAAATTGACAGGTAACAAAAAAAGTATTTGTGCTTCAAAACAGTGCCTCCTCATGATCCTTTTATTTCAACTCTAGCAAATCCCAAATAATAGAAACATTTTTCTGGGTTTCCTTTTTTACTATTTATAGTTCTGTAAACCATTTGAAGTCTTTTGACACATCATTTAGAGACTCGGTTAGCCATGTTTCTTATCTTAAACTAGACGAGTTTATTGTAAATTTTAGAGTGGAAAATTATCAGGGCATAAATAACTACTTATTATTAACAGACAGAATAGCTAATATTGTAGCCAAAGAATTTTTGGAACTCCAGAAACGTGGAGCTATATCTCCAAATTTACCATCTTAAATCAAGTTAAATAATTCCTCAGAGACGTTTAAACCTATTTCTATCAGTTTTCGTAGCACAAATTATGTCCGATATTGACTTTTTGACAGGCCTATTGTGCAAATACCTTGTGTTCCATCCTGTATAGTGTACCAAATAAATAGTGCCGGTCTGATCTTTATCAATATCCACCACTTTGGCCTCGTAAGTCACTTTAGATTCATTGGTAGGCCCGTAATACACACTCAATTTGTCCCCAATGTTAATATGGCAAGACAGGCTATCGGTGGTTGTGGCGTTATCTGAGGACGACTCACCAGACAGTTTTTTTTTACTTTTGGTCTTTTTATCCTAAAAATAATAAAAATAGATTTCTTAAGGCATGAACAGAGGAAAGATTTGCCAAACTTACATCCTCTTTACTAGAAAGCTTCTTGGTTGCTTTGGCAATCGTTTTTGGAGTGCCCTCTTTAATCAATTTTGGAGGATCTTTCAGTTCCTTGGATCTTGATCTAGTCTGCTGCACCTAAATTTGAACAAAATAAAACACACCTCAAACCTTAGTACAATGACCTTTACTTTTTCTTCCTTTTTATCCGCCTCCTCCACAACTTTGTTCAATAACTGTTTCGGCACTTCAATGGGTTTGCCTTTTTTATCCTTGCTCGATTTCCTGTCTTTCCTTTTTGGCCGACTAGTTAAATTCTCTGGGTTCAACTCCGACGTATCGGTATCCCCGTTAGTGTCGCTTGTATCATCACCTCTTGCTCTCTTCTCCTTTACATCAGTTTTCTTTTTGACTCTTGGATCAATTTTCTCAGTTGGAGCTTCTTTTCTTTCTTCAAGCTTATCGACAAATTCCTCCTCCTTTTCGGGCTTTGGACTGTTCACTATCAAAACAAATTAAAACCACATTTTTACTATTTCCACCTAAATCTTACCAGGTGTGCTTCTATCTTTGTCTCGAATCAGGCTACGTCCTGCACTAACGGATTTTTTGGTTGATCTTACAGGGTTGTGCATAGTTACTCCCAACGCCCGATAGAACGTTTCATAACTCTGCAGACATTTCTTGTATATCAACTTTACTTGACTGGCAACATTTTGACTGTTGGGCATTTTCAATTTTTCAGTCACCAGCCGCCACTTGTTGTGATTAGTTACGCGATTGTAACCGCCCATTTTTTGAACCAATCGGAAAAGCCGGTGAAGATCGATGTCTCTGTTAGACACTGACGGGGTTTTGTTCATCGGTGTACCTGAATCATCCATGAACTTGTAGAGTTGAGCGACGAACCTGTCCTTTTCTTCACTGGGTTCATCGTCGGATGTCTAAACGAATTATTAACTAATTTATAATTTATGGCCCATCTAATAACCAAAGACCAGTAGAAGTTTTAATGAGAAGTACCCTATTTATAAGATTTGAAGAGAACTTTATAAGTTTTGGATACACATTAAAAGAATCAAGGATTTTGCCAAACCCTGCGACAATCAGAAAACGAAATTAATATTCCAGCTTGTTTTGACGCTTATCCTGAGTAGTGTCAACGTTGTGTAACACAAAATAGGTATCACAGGTAGATAAATAAAAATCACGATTATAAGTTTCAAAATGTTCAAGCTTTCAATCACAAATTTTCAAAAACGAATAGAATTGTTTGAACTGCTTTTACTTTTAATTAAATGCCAAGAAAATAAAAATAAATAATCAGAGTCATATGGACAGATGAATAAAAATTTAGCAGAGATGGACTTTGTAATAGCACAAATAATCATTTTTGGGCCTCTGAAAATCCGCAGATCATTAGAGAAACTGGATTCCAACAAAAAATTGATTTCAATATTTTGTTTTCCTTTTATTTTTCGAGTTCTTTGTCTTTTGTTAAATGTAATTACAAAATTCATCCTGCCTATGTGCGAAGCTTTCTTCTTTCTTCCAAATAACTGCGTTTAATGTTGGTATCACGTAAAAATTATATAAATTAATTTTAATTTCAAAAACGGGCACAAAATTTGGTTAATTTCTTTCATAAAATTTGAAAATAAAAGAATATACAGAGTTAAAAAATCTCACTAATAATCCGTATTTCTGAACTCCCGTACAAAATTTTATTTTCGAGGTAGCCTGTATGTTTCATCTTAAATGGTATGCCAGGAAAGAATGCCTGTCCTTCAAGGAATTGACTGGAAAATTTCGGCTTTCAGTTTAACTAAAGCATGGAACTATTAAGATTTCTTCAAGGGCTCAAAATTACTTAAAAATCTGGGAAATTATTTTTTATTTCGATGACGGTGAGACATATGTGGGAAAGCCTTAAGAAAATTTACTTTATTTTGAAATGATATACACGAGGTTCTATTTATATTTACACTAAGCAAGATGTTGCCACGTTTATATAGAAGCTTCAACACAGCATATTTGAAAATATTTTAGAGCCTCCTTTTATATCACCTTGGTTAATTTGAAGTACATCCTTTGGTTCATTTACCAGATACTAATAAAGCCCGAAAGGCATGTAGCAATTTCCACTATTTCTCTCTACTAATAGATAAAAATTGCTGTGAGTATGTGTATGTATTTTTAACTAGTATAGTATTTTAACTAGAATTTGCAATTTTGGTTGAATTTTGCTTTTAAGGTTGTTTTTTAAATTTTTATACAATAAACTAAACTTTATGTAAAATTGTTTTTGCCACAAATATAATAACTTGTGAGTGTATATGGAAACACCATAATCCCAATTCTAAACTTCTATGGATAAGTTTGAGAGAGTAAGTACTCACTTAACTCTAAAGTAAAAAAATTAACATAGAACTATTTTTAATGTTGTCTTCACAATAATTATTTGATTGAAAAAACAAGGTCACAAATTATCCGCCTATTGCACTGCATTTATAATGAGCAAAAAAAATTGCTTAGTAAAAACCTAAAAAAAGTAGCTTAAACTATAGTAAAAGATTTGGAAATTTGATAAGATTTTGTAAGAAAGTTATTAACATCTTAGCTATGCAGAAAGCTTGTGATACACTAGATCAGCCAATCCTTCTTGATCAACTGAATGACATACAAACAAACAAAGAACATTAATTTGAGATGAGGACAGTCAAAATCTTGAGGTAGAGGTGCCCACAGAGCACACTACTTTTTCATGTATGATGGCTAATTGTTCCTACTGGGTTCACTGAGGGGAGGGAGTTTAATTTTGCGTCGGGGATGATGCAGCCGCATAAGCGGGGAGGATTATGGCATCAACATTTTGAAAAATTAGATGTAGTTTAAAAATGGATAATGGAAATTTTATTATATAAAGATAAAAATATTCTACTGTACTTACTTGCTTTAAAGATAGTATGTAATAAACGATAAATTGATTATACATTAAAGCTGTTGCCACATTTATGCTAACATAATTATAAATCAAATATTAATCAAGAGTCTAACACACATAATACAGTAAACAAAAAGGTTGTCCCGCAGAACAGCAAGAATTAGTACAACATATTTGACTTTGATTGTTAATGTAAGATTATTTATTTTGTTATTATTTTTATTGTTATTATTATTTATATTATTTGATAATTATTATTATAGTATATATAGCATATAGACAGTATACCTCATAGTACATGGATCTTATCAAACTTTCAATTTTGTTGCAGAGTTAATTTCAATCTATGAACAATTATGACCTATATGCATTGTTGGCTCACCTGTGTGTACTGAGAATAAGAGAGGCTCAAGAATTATAGTTGTTATTGACTAAATTAAAGTTAAGTTTTTGGATTCTGTTATCACTGAAGTAGGTCAAAAAGTTTCCCGCTGATTTGAAAATTTTATAATTAGTACAATAAAGTTCATAAAAATTTACTATACAGAGAGAGAGTGGTTATAAAAGGTGAATAGCAGGTTATACGCTAATTGAAAACAAAGAGTTGGAGCAATCTGAAAACTTGGTAGTTTAAATTAAGCAGCAACTATATATGGATCTGAACTATTTTCGAACTTGCGATAAAATAGCAGCTTCTTTGATATTTAAAATAGGACGCACTGTATCTGATTGTATTTTCCGCTACATTAGTTCTATATCTAAATGAAATATAAAAATGAATTGATTTTGTTATTTTTCTTGTTTTCCTTTGTGAAAAGTTACAACTATTATAAACAGGCAAGATCAGGCTTGCAAATGTTTTTTTCCCTAATTTCAGAAAAACAAGAGACTTGGCAACAATTTAGGCAAACCAAAGAAATTGTTAAAATCTTAAAAACTTTATAGACAAATATTTATAGAAAAAGCGTACTCTGGATGAGAAGGAGCAAAACTTGATTAAAATTAATTTATATACTCACATCTGATGCATTATCTTCATTAAAACTGTCAGGGGTATTGAATAACGAGGTTTTATCCCAATGCAAGGGCAAATCATTGTAATCCAAAAATCGTATTGCCTTCTGGACAGCTTCCATTAGGGCTGGGTTCTCTGCTTTTTGAGCTACTTCCCTATTAAATTCTGACACTTCCTTTTTGGGAACTGTATAACTGCAATATATTCTCCAATAATGCCAATTTTTAATTTAAAGTTGATTCGGCTTACTATCGTCCATCTTTAAATGATCTAATTAAATATTCATCCTTAATATTCACCCTTACGGTAAGCTGGGGTGATGGAACAACCACAACTCCAGGAAACCAACTGTCCTTGCCTCTTTTCTTTTCTGAAGTTTCAATACTCACCACCTTTCCAATATCATGGGAATAACCTTCGAGATCGGGGTTATTTTCCTCTTGGAATTCTTCGTCACTGCTGTCATCTCTAAAATTGAACATTTAATATGAATGAGACGTGACAGCAATTAATGTGAATGCCTACTTTAGATGTCTATTTCTTCTGCCTCTCCGACCACCCACTACTGGATTGCCAAAATGCTCAGGATGAGTTAAAGGTAATTGGTCCAGGGTTTCACTTTCATTAAAGTGCCTACCACTTTTTAAACATAAGGCTGTTCTCCGGAGAGTGGTTATGTCCCCATCATCAAATACTATAGTGAGAAATAAAATGTAGTAAATTTGATGCGAGTGTAGAAACCCAATAAGAATATTTCGCAGTTCAGTTAATTGTCAAACATCCCCTCACCTACTGTGTATTGACTACAATCTTGTATTTTAGTAACTGTGGCTTCAACATATTCTTTCCGATCTGGATGTTTAGCTTGAACCACCTGCCCTACTCTGAGAGCTCCTTTGATATCATTATCATTAATGGTAGCCATACCCAATCCCATCTTGTATGTAACCTAACCAAAAAAAAACATATAAAACATAGGAAATGAGTGTTATATCCATCACTAACTTTACATTTTACCATTCGAACTACCCTACTGACTTTAGCTTCACAAAACGCCCCCTTGTATTTAGCACTGACTGCAGTCCCAACTGATAAATACGGGGGATCGTCAACTTGCTGAAAATTATACATTTTTTAAGAAACTTGTGCAATCAACAAACTTTTAACTCACCATTTTGCTTTTGCAAAGGCTGAACTCAGCCCAGATTTTATCAAATTGTATTATGGAGACAAAATTAGGGACCGCCAGCCTTAAATATGCAATGAACACGTGGAAATCAACAAACGGGCATTTTTCACGAAATATACCTGTTTAAAGCAAAACATGTTGATTTCTAAATAGAAATCCAAGCGGAAAAAAAGGACTTAAGTTGAATTGTCCACCGAACCGCCAAAACAGTTACCACCGAAAATTACCCATTTGAAGGAACTTTACACCAAGATTTGGCCTAAAATTTTTCATGTTTTCAATCGACTCACTCCAATAACAGCAAAATTTTATTATGGCATTAATAGAATGCAACACCCCACTACCAAACTGTCACCTTGACTAAACTCAAAGAAAGCTTCTTCTTAACAATTTATGTAACCACACCACGTCTATACACTCGCTCATTGCTAAAATCGGACAAGGATTCTTCTTCTTTCGCTCTTCACCTTGGTCCGACTTACATCGCTGTCAATCAAAAACATTGATTGGTTTTTCAACTTGTCAAAGTTATTTAGAAAAATTTTAAATTCGGAGAAAAATTCCAAAAGGTATAGGATAATTTTAATGTTAAGATAACATGAAAATGAAATGAAACGCAAGGTTTCACACAGAAAATGGGTTTTACTGGTTCATTGACCTTAACTAAACTTGTCATAGAAAAGGTTAGGAAGAACATGATCATCAAATGACATTTAAATTTTTTAACTAGACATAACCAATCATTTGAAAAATTGCTGTTTGTAATGACTGTCTTAAATTGATTGATTAAAAAAGTAGGGACGATATCTTGACTCGCGTTGAATATTAGAATTGTGCGGATTCCTTCATAAAACGTTGTCTTGTCATTGTTTTTCAGCAATGGATGATTGTTGGAAAAAAAGAAGGAAAGAGAAACTAGGGTTTCTTCCTCAAAGAGAAAATGTTTACAACGAATTGTTGCCCTACTCAGAATCTCTTGATGAGGAATCCACGAAATTATTTATCGACATTAAAACAAACTTAGTTAAATCAATATTGGCACAGGAGATGAGACCAGGATGCGCCTTATGGACTTCGAGGTTGAATAAGTAAGTAGATCTTAAGTTGATGAATGAGGTAGAACCCTTTATTTTTATTTTAGATATATTAAGATATATGGAATGAAATTCTCAAAGGAAGACCATATAGCTTTAATCAAGTTATTTTATGAGCTGGTGACAATCCCTGACCTAGAACCTACACGGGTTAATAAATGTGCATTAACTTTGACTCAGTTGCTTAAGTAAGAAGTATTTTGTGTTCTTCAAATATTTATTTATTTATTTATTTAATTATCAACGCGCCAATCTCCCAATATAAAATAGGATTCACATAAACAAAATAGTAAACAACAAAATAAAATAAAATAAAACAAAATTAAAACAGAATGAAATAGATAGATGAAGACCTTCCCTGATATGACAAACATTGGTTTTCCAAAATATTAAATATAGGTATAGTTAGTTGACACGACAGTAAGGACACTTATAAGAGTAGCGAAGCACTAACACAATGGTATACAATACTATTGCGAGAAAAAACGAAATAGTTTTACCGACAGTCTTTAAGTACTTTTTTTACTCTGGAAGCAGTCAAGTTGGTCCAAAAAGCGATTCGCCAGTGCAGCTGACCTAGTAAGAAAAGAACTCTGCCGATAGTTAGTATGGTGGAACTCCATCTGGAAGGAGTGGTTTATTCTGGTCTGACGGGGGGGAATGAGAAGTGCAATTTTACATAAAAGCTCAGGTCCATGGGAATTTGAATGCAAAAGCCTTTGAAAAGTGTGTATAAATGGCATGAACGTCAGACCCCCCCTCTAATGAGTTCAGCAGAAAATCTGTGAATGTGAGCAAGTTTTGCTCTGTGAAGCAATAGGGGAGAAATCCAAATTGTTGGTCGATGAAGCAACCTTTAAAGCCAGCAGATAAATAGTCGCAGACTAAACTTTCGAACACTTTAGGAAAACAACTCAGGATACTGATGGGCCTATAATTGTTGACTTGCGAGTTATCGCCGGATTTTAGGATAGGGGTAATGAAGCTTGATTTCCAATAATTTGGAAAAGTTCTGGAAAGTATGAAGCTGCAATGCTTAATAAGATATGGTGGGAGGCCATCGTGACTGAATCCTTTGTTTTTGTCTAGAGTCGACAGTTTCTCGTAAATAGATGAAATTGATATGTTCAAGTGTGAGGGGTTGACATCTCCAGAAGATAGTACATCTTCAGAGACACAGTCCCCGTTACTATACATATTCGAAAAAATGATCTGTGGATGTTGATTTGCCCCTCGTAAATTACTAAAATTTGATATTTTCCTTTTGTTTATGCATTTATGTTTTATATAAGGTATAAGGTAATTATTATGGATATTAGATTCACTTGTTTCTTTGTAGAAATCCATTTAACATATTTTATTTTGCCAGATGGTAAATTAAGATTCATAAAAACTAAATGTTAAAAAAAAATAACAATAACCAGTAAATTTAATTCATAATTCCATATTGAATGGTTAACAATAAAAATCATTAATTTACGTTAAGTTCTCAAATACGTTTCCATTATTTTGAATACAAAGTCACGATTTTATTTTAATGTTTTGAAATGCACGAAGAATCTCAGCGATTTTTCTTAAATTAAGTCTCCTTGGTAACTCTTCTGGACTAATTACTTCTGTGGTATAAATTGAATGAAACATATTACCATACAGATAATAATGTAGTGGGTTTAAGTTGGGCGACTAAGCTGGCCAATTTACTGGGCCATCTCGACCTATCCAAAATTTGTAAAATTTTCATCTGTTCAGTTTCTAACACCTTGTTTAAAGTGCTGGTGCTCTGTCATGCTGAAGAAATATCTCCAAGCGAGTACATATCCAAATTTTCTCTAACAATTCAGCTAGATGATTTGTAACGAAATTTAAGTAAGCATTAATCTGTTTGGAAAAATAAAAGATGCTATTAACGTAGTACCTATGATAGCTGCCCAAACATTGATAAAAAACCTATGTTGAAAGTTGGTTCGTTGAACAACCCTGGAATTCTCATTACTTCAGATGTGGACGCACGAGGGAGCAGAACAGTAATCTGAGAGACGGAACACTCTGGAAGTCCACTGTACAAAGCTTAATGAGTGTTAAAAGCTTTATCTCTTGAAAGTGTCGCCTTGTAAGACCATAAGATTTTGTACAAAATATTCTGATGGATTAAAATCCACTGGCAAAATTCTAAACGATTTAAAAAGTCTGTCTTAAATTTTGTACTTTTAGATAATAGTAGTAAGCGAAAAATGTATTTAGTTCACTTTACAAAAGTGGAAAATAACGGTGAAACTTTTTCTTTTCGTAAATTATAGAAAAATGTCTATGTGAAGAGATGGAAATTTCATATCAGTAGACTTACAATTGTTTTAAGAATATTGGCGATATCGGCAAGGGTTCTAGTGCTATTTGAGTATTTTCATCATATCTGTTTACCACTCCTTCACAATCATAATTTTTTGTAGGCCTTCTTGCTCCTGAGATTGAATAAACGATCCACGTTTTGCGTAGTTCCGTACAACGGCACGCTCGTTACCATTGCAATAACCATGATTAAAATGAATATCTGCTAATCGTCTGTTCGAAAAACGATCCATATTTATAAAAAAGAAATAAAAAATATTCAAAGAAACTTCACAGGCTACTATAATACTATTTACAAAACTTCTGAATTTTCGAATTTGTTTACACTTTTCGTTGAGGTTAAACTTGGTTAAATTTGTTGGTAGATACTTTGCAAAATTTACATGAAAAAATACATGCATCGTGTCTACCGGGCTTAAAGGTTTTAACGTTTTTATGATTTAAATTTTCGTGACCAAATTTTAAAAACAGATGTTATTCTTACAAACTATACTCTATATCAATTTTATTTCCCCACCATGATAGATCTTGTATACACATACAAAGTGTCCTGTCTGAGTTCAGGCGTTGACAATCATCGTTGCCGCCATTTCATGGAATCTATCTCTGTCTGCAGCCATTCTAAAGAGATCCTCTAACTCTATATTTTCAACATTCTGCGGTAGCACCATAGGTCAAAAGCCTCCAGCTTTCATTTGTAGAGCAAAACTGACCATATATAGCATACAAGCACCATTTTCCGTGTGCACATGGATAGGTCTCCATTACATAAGACTGGTTTCTAGGATGTGAATGTTTTATGGGTTATTTCAATTCTTGTTAGAATCTCTTCATCACAGATTCTCTCGGAATTCAACAAGCTGCCAAAATATTAGAAGTGAATTACACGTTCCACAATGCCGCCATTCAATACTTTCGCCTTTCCCACTATTATCCATTTGGTCCTACTTATGTTAATGTTAACTTCTCTGCTGCGGCTAGCCTCTTTAATTAAATTTAGGATATTCTGAAAATGCGTCAAATTCTCTGTGAGTATGGCGGTGTCATCATCGAATCTTATATTATTAATTACTTTTCCTCCAATCTCTACACCTTCTGTCCTGTTATACATAGCCTCCCGAAATATTTGTTCCCAATTGAGCATTTTATTGGTTATTATCCACCTTAACTGTATCTACCTGATGATAGAGAATCCCACCAACTCCATATAATCGAACAATAGTCCCTGTCGAAAGCCCTCCCAAAGTTCACAAAACATATATAGACACTCTTCTGAAACTCACGCATTTTTGTAACCGCATGCAAGTTAAGGCGTCCTGACTGTCCAGGGCATTGCTAAACCCAAATCGCTCTCCTCTCAAAGTGTGTATATGCAGTTTGTAGAATTCTCAGCACACTTTTTGAAGCATGACTCATCAGACTTACCAATTATTATATATCAATTTTTAGGAAAAAATACTTGATCACAAGAGATGAATTAGAATTGGAGTGGAGGCCATTGTATGACCTCTGCTTGAGAACATTAGAAAAAAGTAAAACTGACATAGGAATGTATAGATACTTTACGACGTTCGAGGGTAATTTGTTCAGTATGATAAGGGTGTGCAGGATGTAAGTGCCAGTTACAAAACTAAAACTGAGCGTATTATATTGTTGGGGATTTCAGATATTTTCCCGCGTCATCGACCCAAGAAATCTTAGATGAGTTCAGACCAAAGTTATGTCCGTTTAATAGCGCCGAAATTTCCAGCGCCATTCAGTATATGGAACTGTTTCTGCCATCCGCAGTGAAACCGGAAGAGGCCGATATTAGTTACAATTTGTGGTTCAATGAATTTATGAACCTTTGGGAGGTGTGTCATAACGCCGGCACATGGGAAAATGTAAGATAATTATTGAAATGTACAGAAAGATAAATATATTGAGTTAAATTGCAACATCACCACACTAACGTTTCACCAATAGATTGGTTATAGAAATACAAGTAAGGAATTAAATTTAAAAAATTGCCATAAACAAATTTAAAAAATAAACTTGAAACATCATTTAATTAATTAATTCAATTACACAATATTTTGATTCGTCGGAAAATAAAACTTTTTTCCAATCTCTTGGTGTCCATTGTCAATGTGTGTCCTTCTACTTGATGCTAAAAATTGTGTTGCCGAAAGAAACTGAAAAAGTTGCTTCAAAATATGGAGAAGAGATGTACCTCCTGATTTTTGATAGTTTTTTCTCTAACTCCTGTGTCACTGTATACAGAGGATCTAATGTAGACCTTCCAGCTCTAAACCCCGCTTGCTCTTCTATTTCCATTTTCATCTATTATACTCAGGTAAAAGAGCAGGAACCCTCTGTGCGTGATGCGTGGTAACTGTTGTTCATTTAATATCCTCCGTACAGTTGATGCATCAGTATTAATTCTGATGAAAATTTCCTGGGACTTTTCTTCAGTTGCCCTTTAATAATATTTAGCGCATCAACTTCCAATCCGGGTGTTCATACTTCCGGGTGTCTGCCAGTATGAAAACTTTTTTTTCCAAACTTCCAAATTCATGTGGCTTCCAAGGTTCCAACCGATTTCCATTTGCGTTCCCGTACATAAAATGAATATATATCTGCCATTTCTGCGCTAATTTAATTCAGAATTATTAAATTAAAACTCTTATTATTGATCACTTAAATGATTAGATAATCAATTTTTGATTAAATTAATCGTATTTTCTATCCAAACTAACTGAGCAATGTCAAAAAAAGCAAATAATAAGAAACGCCTTAAAAAGGACAGCAGCCACTAGATTTTTTTAATCTAATAATTTTTTATGTCGTTATATGCTTCAAATTTTGTTTTTTTAATTTGGAAATTGTAATTTTTATGAAAAAATCGCAGGACACAAAAGTTTCTAACTAAAATATATATTTTTTGTCATTGCATAAGTTCTTCCTTAAATGTAGTTGAGAAGAATATTAGGGGTAGTTTAATTGAGTCCCCTCCACTCATTTAAAAAAATGAAAACACATGAAGAAAGTGTGTTTTTATAACAGCAATTTTTTCGTTTTATTTTATTATTCTATCTATTTTCGTTTTAAAGATAAAAAATAAAACCATCATCCTTCTGTCTTGTTTGTAGTGCGATATCTCCATAATTATTGGATTTTGACCCAGGAACAAGGAAGCGTCCCCTTAAGTTTTGCGCATTTGTTTTGAAACACCCTTTATAATAAATTTCCAAAAACAGTATTTTTTTAGATAGCTGTGTCTAACCGAATCAAAATTAAAGTTATTTTTTAGGATTATCCATGTGTATTATGTTTTGGTTTGCAGTTCATACGAACGTCTCGCGATTTTAATTATTCACAAACAATAAACTTGCAGTTATGAACATTTTTGGTAGGCGGTTATAATTTTTTTATTATTATTTTATATATCGTAATTAGTGTGCTTTATCGACAAGAATGGTTGTAATACTAGTTCAAGCACATGGTTGCTTCTGGTTTCAGCAGATGGCCCAGAGAGCCAACAAATATTCTGTTGTGATACGTGAGGTTCATCTTAACTAATCCACCGATTTCCGTATCTTAGTGTACCGTACTTATCAATGAGATTGATACGCAATAAAGTTGCCCCCCCCTCCATTCTACACATTACCCCACTATTTAATATTGTTTAGGTTTTTAGTTTAGTTAAGTCCAAATCTGCCCCTAGAAACAAAGCTGTCAAATTTCAAACAAATTCGTAAAAAGATATTTCATTTCATTTAAAGAACATTATTTTAAAAAAATTAACACCCAGTATCTTGCAAACAATGCATTTTCGGACCTACATTTATGGACACCTTCTTTATAAGTTGATCTGAGGAAGGACCCTCCTAAATATTGCCGCGTCTTTTTTAAACACTCTGTATTTGATAATAATTGAGAATGAGATGTACGAGCCAGATCAAACGGTTTGGTCGTTTCAGCACATGATGTGGATTTTGACGGGACTGGCTCGATTTCAAATTGGACATATCGACTGGGAGCCCTACATAGCGCAAATGTTCGTAAGATTTCAAAGAACGTTACAGTTGCCTGTCAAGTTTAAACAGCGACAAGTTGGCAAACAACACAAAATCGACGTGTCGGCCATGGCGTTGTGGATTGTTTGCGTCCTGCACAGCGACCATAATTCAGTTTTTTTCCATTTAGAAAAGTTTATGCGAACTCTGGAATCTTACTTTTATCCAGCTAATGTCGGTAGGTGAGTAACTTAAATATATGTTCCTTATAAATATTGCCGATTATTTTTAAATTTTCATATCCTTTTGTAAAAGTAAATACTCACGAATTAAGTCATTCTAATACCATATTCCGGGTGGTCAATTAAGAAAGGCTCTCGACACTATGTTGACAAGTAATAGTCGCAAAGACTTGGGGTGAATTGATAAGCTGAAGGATTTTTTATCGATCTCCTCTAAGAATATGCCCCTACATTTGGATTCCTCCTGCGTCGGTTGTTGCCCAGTCGAACTTGTTAACGTTTCGTCAATCATCCTGTAGACTTCTTTAGAGCTTAACTGAAAAAACTGAAGCCAACAGGTTTACAAGTTCGATTCAGCAACAACCGACGTAGGAGGAATCCAGAAGTTTTGTAAATAGTGTTACAGTAGCCTATGAAAGTTTCTTTGAAAAATTCTTCTATACAGGTACATCTCGAACGTTTCCTAGGTGATTGATTGATCATAACAGTCTTTAGAGTCCAATTCTCAGCTCCATATAACAACATGGAGCATATATAAAATTCTACTTTCTTTGGTTCAATTTTACATTTAAGTTGTGTTTAGAGAAGAATAATTTTGTTAATCCATCTGAAGAGAAGCATCTGCGTGACTGAATATCATGAATTTTGTCCTATTAACAGTAATTTTTAGACCGATGTCCCATCCTGTCATGTTTACACAATCCAACAACTATGAAAGGTCCCGAATACGATTGCACAAGATCCCGCACCGTTATATCCGGGTAGTCTAACGCCTCCGTGAATGCAACATTCGTCTATTAATTTTCAGGTTTTCTACTATCGATTTCCGATGTTCTTAGTATATTCAAAAGGGTTCTATGCTGTACCCTGTCGAAACCTATTTCATAATCTATGAAACATACATAAATGTATTTCTAAAGTCAAACGGAGTCTCATTCTGTTCCCCCTCGCATCTACTTTTTATCCTTCTAAGTATTAGGAAAGAAAAAAAACCTTCAATGTATGATTTACTAATTAATCTGTATTCGTCACATCTCTTTACCCGTCGTTTTTCGGGAGGATTATAAAAACACATTGTTAAAAAACTTAACCCAAGTACGGATCTGGTTCTTCGTGGATCATTTGCAAGATCTCTACTGGAATGTTGTCTGGATCAGTTGCTTTCTTAACTTTGACTTATTTTGTGGCATGCAGAACTTCGGATTTTAACATTTCTGGGCTTTGTTCTTGCATTGTTGTTTATTGTGTCTAGTTTTCACTTTATTTTCTTGTAAGATCTTAATCTCATGTTCACGAAATGATTTCCATTTTTCCTCGACACTTTCAGGCTTGAACCCGGTCCATGGATGTAAGTTTTTTAAGTATGAAAAATAAATTAGTTTTTATCAGATACTTCAACGGAACGAATGCGTTATATTTTTTCCTTCAGTGAGGGTGCTTTATATGTAATAATCAACATACATGACATGAATATACTGCAAAATATAATTTTCGTACTCCCTGCTCTAAAATATACAATTATACACACATATACTCGCCCTGCTCGTGTCTGAAAAAACTCGTAACTAAAGTGTAATACTTTTTACAAAACTTCTAGATTCCTCCTGCGTCGGTTTTTGCTGAGTCGAACTTGCTGACGTTTCGCCAATCATCCTGAGCTTGACTGAAACCGATGCAGGAGGAATCCAGAAGTTTTGTAAAAAGTATTACAGTAGCCTGTGGAAGTTTCTTTGAAAAATTAACTAAAGTGAAGTTTATAAAACTTATTGCATGATCATTATAAACAATATTATACCCACAATTTGCAGCATATTTTGTGATTTCTCACAAGCTACTGTAATACTATTTAAAAATCTTCTCTATTCCTCCTGCGTTGGTTGCTGATTAATTGAACTTCGTCACCTTAAAAAAGATTCTTCATTAGAATCTGCGAAAAAATCGGTCGTCCTTCGCGACTCTAAAATTATTCATCTCTACCGACTCTCTAAGATTCACAAACTAGAATTACCTCTTCGACCTATTCGACCTATCAGTAGTCATCGTAAATATATTTATGGAAGCTATTGTGAAGAAAGCCCTCGACATTTACCACCTAAAATCAAAACTATGGAACAGTTACGTTGATGAAACTTATTAGGGGGGCTACAGGAAGGACATGAGTGTTGTCTCGGATGACATATTGGTGAAATATAAAAACCTAAGTCGGAGTTAAGATAGTTTAGTTGTTTGGAGATTTTTATGGATTCTCGAATTTTTCTTTTGTAGAAGAATTGATTACATACAAGAATTTTAGTTTGGTCGAATAGGATTTGATATCTGGTTTCATGAGTGTATTCGGCAAAATTTATTTGTTGTAATCTTAAGGTTCTTTAATGTTTTTATTGCCTTGTTCATATTTCTCGACCTGTTTCTCCAATATGAATGGAATACTGTAAACTCCTGTATTTTGTGATGGAACACTTAATATCTCTAACGTGGAAATTAATAGAGAGAAGAGCATAAGTATTTTAATTCTGGGTTCAGTTGAATAACGGAATCGTTTGAGATATTTTTTCGGCTCTGTAACCAAGAGAGTTGATAACCAATTGTTGGGCAGGATGAATGTGTATTAAGTTATCCAGTTTAGGTTTTTCTTACACTTAATGACCCAATGTTAGATCTGATTTTTTATTAATAAGATTATCTAAGAATAGGAGATCATTATTAGTTTGTAATGGTTAAGAGAGATTCTTGAACATGAGGCAAAATAAAAGGATTAGTTTAGTTTTAGATGGATAGTTGAGTGGCGATAATGACCCATTGCAGTTGCTGATATTTCTTCATAAATTTGAGCATTACAAGAAACAAAGCGTTTTTTTTTTTAATTAAAATGAGAAGGTAAATAGTATTGCAGTAGCCTGTGGAAATTTCTGTGAAAAATTGCTAAAATATAGTTAATAAAGTTTTTGTTCAAGGTATTTTTCTTTGTTACCTACCCAACTATCCATTATTTGAGTTACTTATGTATCAATTGTATCAATGTTACTTACCTGTGTATTAATACCAGAACATAAAAATGTGACTTGAACTAACTTATACATTTCACTGCTCTCCACCACCATCTTTCAACTTGCTGCGTTAAATTTCATAAAGTACTTTCAGAGTACTCAACTCTGTAACCCTGTAATATTGAGAATAAATAAAGTATATTGGCTCATTTCTTACCTATAAGAGTTTGTAGCCTGGTAAGAATATTTTTTCGCTATTCAGGTTACGAATTATAGTCTAAATTACTAGGTTACGGTATTCAAAACCACAAAAAATCAATATGCATAAGAAAAAATTACGTTGATGGTTTTCACATTTTTTAGGTGGACGTTTAAACTGAGGGAACTGTTGCGTAAACTTTCATATTACTTTGTTCAACGTGTGCACAATGAACGTCATAAAAATCCGTCCTGGGACTACCAGGTTCCACAGGATTATAAGCTTAGGGAGGAGGACATCGACAGATTTGTCGAGATTTTGAAACCGTGCGTGGAACAAGCTATGTTTTCGAGGCTTGGCTCCCAAGATGTCACATTAGCTCTGTCTTATTTGGCATCACTGAGACCTAAAATTATAGTGCCAATGACGTTAGATAAACTATACGCGTCCATGGATAGTTTAACTGAACCTCATAAGTTGACATCTTCCATGATGGGTGTTATCGCGGTGGGAAGGTAAGTAGTTTTGGAGTTTAAAGTATTATTTGAAGTATATCAACAAGAAAAGAGCGCAAAGTAATATCCTCGAATAGACAAAATGGGGTACGCATGACAAAATGGTATCAGTTTAACCATGTATATGTATGTATATTATATATAAAATTCTATAAATCTACTTAAGAATGAAAAATACTGATTATTCTATTAGGTAATTTGCTATGATGATTTTTTAAAAAATGCTGTCCCAGGTGTCCCAGTTAGTGAAACGAGGTACCATATTGGGGAAACGGAGGGTCTTAGAAATTTGAAAAAAAAAATTGAGTAAATCGGCCAAAAGATGATGCTGAAAATTATTTTCGAGTTTCTAAAATATCCACCAAGGAGGCGTAATTGTTATCTTGAATTTTAAAACTCGGTTTATACAAAAATTTCTAATGTTAACCATGTGCGTTCTATTTTAAAGCTGTTTAGAGCTGATTTTCAGGCATATGGTTCAAGGTCCTCGAAACGACTACCCAGAAGGACCCACCCATATTATACCACTCTTAATAGCCCTTTTGCCGGGCATAGACCCGAACGATATCAGAAAATCTTATGTGACTTTCAACTTTATGGTACATTTCGTCAACATGATCCCCTTGATCAATACTTCCGACGCGTACATATACTACGATGACATGACTGAAGAGGAGCACATAGTTTGCGAGGCTACTGCGAACTTTGAAGATTTCGTGTTACAATTTTTCGACAGGTTGATGCTGTGGGTAGAGTCAAGCTCCTTGGATTTTGTCAGACTCGAGCAGATGACGAACAACAACAACATGAAAAATAGAACCGAAACTATTACGGAGACAGCTATTGGATCCGTTGTTAGTGTTATTTTGACTCAGTGTTCTCCTGATATATTCCAGGTAAATTGTTTTAAGTGCACTGAGGTATAAAATTAAGGTTGGTTTCTCACCATTCTGCCTGTCAGAATTGAGAGTGACATGACATGAATTTTAATAATTGTAAATTTTCAAATTTTATTAGTTTTCTAAATCAACATTGTTCTTCTTCATGTTGATTCTCACTGGATTGTCAAGTGAAGTATCTCATATTTTGAAACCCGCATTATGTGACCCAGAAAGATGATCTTTATTTTTTTTAACATTTGTAACCGTTTTTGTTCATTCTGATAAACACTTCTGCAGATCTTGATTTCGGAGCAATAATCGACGGTACAGCAGCTGAAGTTTGTACCCACGTTATTATATCTTGTAACCCTGTGTAATTGTTCTCCATCTATATGGAGGTGCTTTTGCAGGCCATTTTTCTTTTGTTATAATCATGTATTTGTTTTTTTTTGTGTTAATTGTCAAACCAAAATGTTGACTCACAGTGATGACCCTTTTCTATTATGAGTTTATTTCGATTAGAAATTACAAAAGCTTTTATAATAGTCATGTATTAGTGCAAAAATTAAATTTACATTACATCAAGATACATTTTAATGGGCGCCCTAAATGCTACCAAAATAAACGAAAGAACCCACTATAATTTCCTTCTCTGTGGGTTAACGTCAGCCCTATGCAGAACATGGTTAATGACCCGCAGAAAACCCGAAATAACTCACAAAAAACGATTGTTCGCCACATCTGCATATTTCCGTTATCCTTAAATTTGTCGAAAAGGAATAATGGCATTCTTGTAGATAAACTAAACTGTCTGCTTTTCCCAAGCACTTGCCAGCTAGCGAAATAAACGTACTTACTCATAAAATAACAAGTTCTATCCCACTTCTGACTTGTAAGATAATAAAAAAAAAACATGAGGATTTTGCTAACACGTATATTTAGTACAATAATACTCGCAAATAAATAGACCCCACACACCACACAGACCGCAGATGGATTAGCAATAGGAATGATCTCCATAACGCCATACAGTTGACTACAATCATATCAAACATATTTAGTGTATTTTAATTCATGCGAGTATTTAACAATTACCTGGGTCATGCGTTACCGTACAAGCACTTGGTTAGCGCAAGTTCGGCTATTTAAAGTCGCTGCATCCAAACGACCATCAGCCATTGGTTCGACGATTTTCCGTATGAACCCCGGAAGGCGGGTACCCACCTGTTAGCTTGGTTGACGGTTTGTGTTCGTACTGCTGCCTCTCTTAACTGGCTCGCCCTCTGCCCCCAGCAACTACTCTCTACGGTCTGCTCGCCCTCAGGCCCCCGACTCCTACCCTGGAAATCTAAGCCATATCTGGCCCACGGCTGCGTGATCCTCGGATCGACCACATATAGTCAGATAGTCCTTTGGACTCTCGGCTCCCCCTTTGCCTCTCGTAATGTGCCAGGCATGCCGGTACTAATTTTGTCTTGTAAGTTCTGTTATGTTGCCATTAAAGTTAGTGTTTTATAAAGCGAGTGTTTTTATCGAGAGGTCTACTACAGAAGGTTGTGCCAATATATTTAATCGCAGTTGAAGTGGCGTTTACACTTCATCATATCTACTTGTTTTCATCAAATTTCAGTTTAAAAAGCATAAATCAGAAAATGTCGATACAAAGAGAGGTTGTGAACCATTGGGCACAATCTTTGCCATTATACAAACGATAATATGATAAAGTTGTATGAACATTGAAAGTGATAGCACAGAGAGTACAGAACATCGCGTTGATATTTCTTGGTTTGGTTTCTGACATTATTTGCAATTTGAGAAGTTACTGTTTAGTCTAAAATATACAATTATGCACGGATCAACCGTGCGGAAAGCGAACGTCAACTTTATTCAAAGTTGCGGTCTGACGGTCACACTACTGTACACTACATGTAAAACTTCAGTCACAATTACAGTGTCGAAAGGAATGGAAGGCATTTATCGAGCAATTTTTACACCACTTTTATGAATGGGGGTTATAATGCTTACTTACAGGAAAAATATTCTGTGTGTCGTCTTTTCGATTGACTTTTGTTTTTTTTTTGCTTCTACTTGTTTAAATAAATTTTCATTTTATTTTAAGATCCTTTGTTTACGTTTGTTTCAAACTACTTTCTTCTAAATTTTGAAGATATAAATAAATATACCACAAAGGAGTAATATTTATTTTTAGGTCGCCTTAAAAAAAATGTACAATTTTGTAATTAGTCGAATATTGGAGGTGCAAGTCTCAGGAAAAATGGTAGCAATAGCGTGTCATTGCTTTTCAATGATAAATCCGAAGGAGACTTTGAAGCTGTTTGTGCCTTACCTGTGCGACATACTTGAAGAATTGTTACGTGAAAATCCACACATTTCTACCGAGGAACACGTCGATGCAAAATTTTTGTACAATTTGTTAATACTATCTGAGGTAATTTGTGGTCTTTCATTTAATAATTTTTGTAATTGCGTTGATTTCAGCTGGTCGATGGTAAAGTAGAGCTGCTCAATTACTTAGACCGTCTCACCTCCATTTTAGATAAGACGTTGCATATGACCTGCCAAGAGGTAAACTATCTGTCATCTCGCATGCTTGAGTTGTTGCTTTATTCTCTAACAGATATACGTCCCAATGAAAATCGAAGTTGCGGAGTGGATTACTCCACTTCAGTTAAGAACTTTTTGGCTATTAGGTATTCAATCTGCTTTAAATATATTTGTTGCAGCACTGACTTTTCGAGACTTGTAGGGAATGGGGGAAATCTCAGAACGTCAAAGATCTTAAATTATCGTGGTATGTCCCGGGGGCGAATGAAGTGAAAACAGTAGAAATGCTAGTCTGGAGGTATTTATTGCCAGAACTAAATACTTTAACGAAGTATTCTGGAGGCGAGCTCATCCTGACTAGACAGGAACTTAAAGCGTCATTGGTAATACTCGTCTCGATATTATCTTGTCACTTGTTGTTGCCGATGTGGGACGAGCCAGCTTACCAATTGTACGTAAAATTAAACGTTGAATAAAATGTCGGGAAAAGGCGATACTAACTAAAGATTCAGACTTTGATTTTCTCTATTGGCATGTTACGTTAAATTTGGAATTCTCTCAGTTTTCAAGTAGTGTTTGTACAGGGTGATCCATTATAAATGCGCATCCCCTCCGCTCTAACTTTGTGCGTTCATGTTAATATAACACGGAAGAAAACTTTCAGTTGTACCTACAACTTATGAACGCAAAAAGTTAGAGGGGACGAGATGGGCATTTATATATAATACAATATGGTTTTATGAAATTTAATTTAAATTTCACGGGTCACCATTTTTTTATTAGTTGTTTCATTATTTATTTTATTATTACGGAAGTAGTTTCTTTGTTCTAAATTTATCAATCTCGCAATGCATTTAAACGTATTTATTTATCACTTCTGAGAAATAAATACCTAAAGATGCGAAAAACGCAAACCATTTCAAGCTAGGATGAAGAATTATACGTCTGTTTGTATTGGTAAAATACAGAAGCGTCTTATATTTATTACGTTGTAAATACTTCCGTATTTCAAAAATCTCTGCTCGTTGAGATAACCATTGTTTTTTGTTATTTTCTGATACTGGCAATGAACCAGGATGTCTCGAAAACAGTTAATTGCAAAAAATAAGCCAAAAAATCTAATATTTTGTAGTCTTATGGTAGAGAGACCTGAAATCAACCTCTATTTTCTCATAGGATTTTATGGATATACGAATCATTTTATTATAACACCAGGAGTACCCAACACAAAAAAATTACACTATTAGTGTACAGAAAATCCAGACAAATATTTTGAAGTTAAACCTTCTGGGCGTCGTTCTATTAATGTTTAGTGTGGAATTAACAGATCCAAATTGTAAGCTCGCTATTTTATGAATATGCCACTGAGTGAAGCTGCCGAAATTATTTAGAATATTGCTTGAATAACGGACTATCTCAACAATAAAGATAGAGAACAACGATATGGCCAGCTAATCCTCCAGACCTAACGGTTCTAGACACTTTTTTATGGAGTAATTTAAAAAATAAAATTTATTTTACTGGACAGCATTATAATAAAAGAAGGAATTAGAACTGGAATGAATAATATAAACACCGATCATGCTAAATGGATTAATCAAGCTATAGAAATACTAAAAAAAGAATATCGAAATTTGACCGCATACTATATTAATTGAATAATGTTGTTAGCTACGGGTATGTTATATAATTATATTAATAATTATTGTTATTGCTTATATAGTAAATATTGAATATTAAACAGCTTATCATACGTGTTTCTGTCAAAATGGCTTAGTAAAGACGTAAAAACAAATCATGAAGCGACGAATAAAAAAATGGCGATTTTGCATCTTAAATATCAAAAATAACCATAATTTGTTATATAATTTTGACATCATCGTTAAAGGGCTCTCATATAAGGGTATAATATGTATGGCATTTTATGAGAAAAAGAACCGGTTGTTACCTGATTTTTTTTACCCTCCTGTATAAGTAAACATAACATGGAAAAAAACTTTCAGCTATACCTTACAACTTTTGTATTAAACTTCGTTTTCTAATTTCTAAAGGAAAAAAGTTAGAGGGTGGACATTTATAACGGATCACCTTGTACAAAAACCGAGATCTCTTAGCTTTAAAAGACGGAAGAAAAATATTTCAATGTAGCTTGTCCTACCAAATGAGCCGTTTATTGTAAAAAGAATTTATTTCCCGACGTTTTCAAAAATATTCCCTTTATTCAGAACACCAGTCAAACTAATAGTGACTTCCATTAGGAGAGCGTGAACCAAATGTATCGCTATCCTACATTACCAAATCTCCAAAAAGCCATTCCGACAAGTTCTTAAGTGGTAGAGGGCGGGAGTGAAAAAGATAGAGGTTTAAAAATTGGGTTGTGGTGATAGGAGGCTATCGTTTCTATTGTCAAAATGTTTGTGACCTTGCGGCGTTTTATGGGGTATCTCGTTTATTATTAAAGTGCTGTGCTACATTTTCTAGAAACCAAAGTTATTACAACTAGAGAATTTTGATGATAGTCGTTTTGATTTTTAAGATACGGGATGGTTTTGCAAGCTTTGCATTTTGGGACATTCCTCGCATCTCGTTTTTTACGAAAATTTAATAGCATATTCAATTTTTTTCCATTATTTTCGAGAAATAAATCAAACATATATTTTTTAAATGGGTCAACCTGTATGTTTTCGGATAATACGATAGAGTTTGTCAAGAATATCTCAAAAATATACTCTATGGTTGTTTTTAATACTAGCCTAAGACTTTCATTTGATAAAAGGTCAAAACCAGATATGTGAGCCAATATTAAATTTGAAAAGAAGCTAGAAGTCTATTTCAGAATTATTTTCGAGAAATAAACCAAATTTAAATTTTTTGAAATGTATATTTTTGGATAATACGATTGAGTGTTGGCAACCCAATGTTTAAATGTCAATATGCTTTTAATAACCGGTCGAGTTGAGCAACCCCGTATAGATGATCTGCACTTACTAAATTTATCAACAACTTTTCGGTTTATTAACAAGTAACACATGGCAGATGTCATTTTAGAAAATTTTGAAAATAGGTTTTGCGTTAGCTTTTGTCCTTAAGTGGCTTCAGTTGTATCGAACAAAGACTTATGATTTGAGGTTGTTATCTGATGTGATCAAAGTGAACGCGGAAATATTGCGTTCACTTTGGTGAAGATTAAAGTGATTTCAATCATTTGGCACATATGATGAGGGAAGTGATTTTAAAACGAAAGTATCGCACAACCAGTTCCGATAGAATCCATTAGTTCAAGTCGAAGGAATACATTCATTTATAACACTGATGGTATTTTGACATTTGTCAGTTCTCATTGTCACGTCACACATCACGGTGTGAATGTTATTCACGCTGTTTTGCCAAATTGCTGCAGAAAATGTAAAGTATGTGACACTTTGATAAACGTCTTTATTCTCTGGTTTATCAAATACTCGCTCCGCTCATTCCTAAACAAACTCGTGACTAAAGTGTCGTTCATAAAATTTGTAACAATATATTATTTTAGAGTAGAGTCGGTATTGGAACCTTGGGCGTTTAATCTAAGGGTATCAAACGACGTATCTATTTCGATGCCAGATGGAAGCAACATCAGGAAAGCTATAGTAAATACAATGCACTCGCTGCAGAAAAAACTACTGACCACTGACGAAGGTGACACACAGAGTATCAAAATGATTATTGATGTAAATATGAATTGAATTAAGTGTATCCGACATGGTTCTCAGTCCAAAACAATTTAAGGTATATAATATCGTACTGTTTAACAAAACACGAAATCAGGACTTTGAGTTCCATTGGAAAACGTTCCATATGGCGAAGAAACTGTTAGAGGACAGGGTGCAGCAAAAAAAGTTGCACCTCCGACACCTGCTGATTGATCGGGTGATGCTTCAGCAGGAATTCAGGATCGCGAGTAGAAATTGTTCATTTACGCGAACTCACAAGCAAATCCTTGAAGATTTTCTCGAACTAGGCGTATCTCAATACAGTGAAGTAATTGTTGTTCATTATGATCACATACCATCATTTATTCAATATTCAATTCAAGGTTAGGATAGCGGCCCAATCGAGGCTCTACCGGATGATATCTTATTTTCCATATTGTTCGGTGATCCTAACGAACAAGATCAAAGAAATTCTTCTGATTAATTCGGAAGAAAACCACGAAAAATTCAAGGGTTGCTTATATATTTTGCTTGGTCCCAAAGGTACTCCCATAATCGCCAGACACGACTGGAATTTCATCAAGGAGGTGTGGCCCTTGGTCATTCGTTCAATGCCTTCGGAGAAGCCGTCTATCGTGAAACTGGTTACGGGTTTGACTGATGCTGTTTACAAGTATTTTCCTACAATAGCGATTAAATTGATGATACCCGAGAGGACGCTGTCAGCTGCCTACCGCTTGGCGGATACAAGGCCTTTTACATGCGATTTAAGTAGTTTTAAAAGATTTATAGACGACGGCAAGATTTACTTAAAGAAAATATCGCTCGAGAGGGAGCAGGCTTACAATCAGACCATCAACAACCTGTTGGATGCTTGCGAAAGCGGAAATTTGTAAGTAAATGTAAATCTAATGTATTTAATATAATTCTTATGAAATCAAGTTAATATTATTAAAAATTCATATTTAAAAAAAAAAAGTTAAATTTACATATCAAAGACAAGACATCTTGTTGGTCAAGGTTCTGTTAATTACATAATCTCAAATTGTCAACAATTCTTGGTGTGCTTTTGCCTTAGGTGATATTTCTCGCACTAGCGAATTGTACATCATTTGTTCCAGGCACTGGCGTTACAATGCTATGGCTATAACCTTTATTAAAAGTCTAGTACACTTCGACGTCCACTATAATCCTAGAGTGGTGAAATACTTCCTTCAAGCGACTATAAGCGAATCGCTTAACATTCGGAAGAATGCAATGAAAGTTCTGGTCTTTATTACCATCCAGAACAAACCGAAATTTAAAAAAATCGATTTCAATCCTTTCAAGTACTCCAATTGCACCTACGAGACCAAATTCGTACCGGGCGAGCGGGAAGACAACCTATGGTTATTATACAATAGTAATACTTTGCCTAAAACTGTGAGCCAATGGGAGGAGTTGAGATACGTCCATGATCAGATTACGGGTTACTATGCGTGGCCCAAAGAAATGAAAGTGTACGCACCTCCATCTCAACAAAAGTCCGCGGCCTCCAGGATGGAGATGCTGAGTCAATGCGAGAAAGAGTTATACGGATTTTTCAGCGATGCTTCCAGCGTAGATCAGCTAGTTAAGTATTTATCTATGGAGGACAGGAAGGGACAGGATCAGTTCAACGCCTACAGATTTCTGGCTTTCAAGGTTAGTTAAGTGACTATAAAAAAAACTTGTGTGAAAGTAGTCGTTATATTTACTGAAAAATAGAGAAGAGTTATAGATTTGACGATCGTAAGTATTATTGATTTGCAGAATAAAGCAATACAACCATCGGCCAAAAAAAAAGCTTACTTTATTTTCAAAGTTGGCTTTCTCATGACGATGCTACGTCAGAAATTTTTATTCAGATTAGAATTTGAGCAAGGTGCAACAATAATACGAAGTTTTTTGTCCAGAGATTTGGAACACCCTGTACAATCCAAAACCGGGGCAGCTGTTGTCAATTGGAACAACATTACCTCTGTTTTTATTGCAGACTAGGTTTCAAAGCGAACGCCTCGAATAAAGCTGCCAAGGCGCAACAAAGAAATCTCAATACTGAAATTTCGTCAGAAAACCAAAAAACAAAAATTACAACACAAATACAACAAAAAAATATCTGGTGTGCCTTCGTCCCAAAATAACTTCGTTCGGTCGACGTTGCATCAAATCAATAAGGTCTTACTGTTTATAAAACTTCTGGATTCCTCCTGCATTGGTTTTTGTTCAATTGAACTTGCTGACGTTTGGCCAATCCTGTTGGCTTCTCCAGAGCTTCACGGAAACTGGCTCGCAATCTTACTCTGTACCTGCTTATATATTGTTTGAGGGGAGAGGAACTACAGGAGTGACATGAACATTGCCTCAGATGACTGATTCCCATATTGGAGACAGGTAAAGATCTGCTGTAAACTTCTGATACTACAAACGAAATTTTGTCTTCGACGGATCAGTTTCAACATTATTTCAGATATATTAAAATCCGAGAATCTGGAACCAAACCTTCTCATCTTAATTAAAAAATGCTTGTCTCAAACATATTCTTCCTACAATGGTGAAATTTTTTAACAAACGTGGGGGGAAACAGGGATGGATTTTCCATTATCACCAGTCATCGCGATTATACTTATGGAGGCGTTTGAGAAGAAAGCCTTCCATCTAAAACCAAAATTATGAAAACGCTACGTTGATGTTACTGTTATTATTTGAGCTGATGGTCAAGAATCCCGACTAGGTTTTCTTAGCCATTTAAACTCTCGACACCATAATATAGGTTTTACGTTTAGAAAATCAGTCCTAACATTGACAGACCGATACCTTAATGCATTGTCACATCACCATCGTGCCCAAAAATCATCGGTTATTAACTCTCTTATTTGCAGAGCCGTAAAACTATCTCAGCCCGAGTCACTGAACCCACCTTACATCTGCTCGTTTCTCTAATTACTTACAAATTATAGATATTAAGTGTTCTATCACAAAATATCTTCAAAACCTTCCAAAGATAATAAGTCTAAAAGCAATTCAAGCAAACATCACTGATCGCATTTCAAAAGTTTTTAAGAAATATAACATCAAACCCAGCTTTATCACTTGTCCAAAAATCTCTCAACATCTTCGACAAAAGACAAAATTCCGTTTGAGATACCAGTAGTTTACAGCATTCCGGACAAAAAATATCAACTAGACTCAAAGAACATGAAAGAGCTTTAGGACTAAGATAAATAGACTCATCAGAATTTGCAGAACACAATCACTAAACTGGACATAAAAAATAATTTATTCGATAAAACTAAAATTCTTCAAAATAAATAAGAACTAAAACTTCAGATTTTCACGAAATTACATATTATGACATGACAATTGTTTCGACAACACCGTGTCTTTATCAAATGTAACATTTGATAAAGACACGGTGTTGTCGAAACAATTGTCATGTCATAATATATAGTTTCGTCAAAATCTGAACTTTTAGTTCTTATTTATTTTGATAAATGGATTTTCATCAAGTAAAAGCCACCTCAGTTCAATTTTACTAAAATTCTTGTATGTAATAAATTCTTCCACCAACGAAAAATCCACGAATCTATAGAAATCTATAAGCAAACAATCTATAGCAACTGACCGCGACTCAGGTCTTTACCTGTCTCCAATATGGGAATCAATCATCCGAGAGAATGTTTATGTCCCTCTTTTAGCTCCTCTCCCCTCAAACAATATATCTTAGCAGATACAGAGTAGAATACGAGCCAGTTTCAGTTAAGCTCTGCGGAAGCCAACAGGATGATTGGCGAAACGTCAGCAAGTTCAATTCAGCAAGAACCGACGCAAAAGGAATCCAGAAATTTTATAAATATTTATTCTTGCGAAATGGCATCAAATTCTTACTGAATGAAGGCTCTTGGGTAAAGCAGGTCGGTGACAAATACGTTTTCGAAGTTACCATCACAGAATCTCTATTACAACTTACGTGTTCTGAAATTGTACAATCCACTAATCTTTGATTTGGACGTCTCCACACTCATTCCCGACAAAACCGCGATTTATCCGTGAAAAGGAAAATTTAGGAGGATTACGTCTAAAAGAAGCCCTAGTTTTCTATATAAACATTTGTCGAGGAACGTCCCCTAACGGAGCTAGAAGGAAATATTGGACCTTGACACAGAATTAAATTTCTAACATAAGTTGTGAAAAATAAGTCAGAATTTCTAAAAATCAAGTAAGAATTTCTGACAGGTCTCTCGTAAGGGACAATACTAAATGAAACATTAGATATATAGGCTAGTTCATAAAGAATGGGCAACCTCTAAACTGGAGTTTTTTTAAATTTGAAACTTATTTGGACGTTGCTCCTAGACCGCGCTAGTTCTACCATATTATTTAGATAAACGGAATATTTTTTTTTCTATCTATCCAGTTCTTATAGTGAAAATCTGAAAGAACTTCCAAGTTTTCATGAAAAGGCTAGAATTTTGACCTATTTGCATTTAAAAAGTTCAAGGTATAATAAAAAACTGATATTTAACAATAGCAATTTTGGTAATAGTAGTGACAAAAACTTGATATCAAATGTTGGAATTTCATAATGCGTTGGTATCTAGTACTTCCAGTTTAGAGATTGCCTATTCTTTATAAATTCCCTGATATATCTGATGTTTCTATTCGCAAAGTCTCTTACGGGACACCTACGTTATAAATTCTAGCTTATAGAACTTCTGACATATTCCTCAAAAATTTACAAAATTCAGATAGAATTTTTATTTCAGAACTTATTCAAAATATTCGAGGATGCATTTCTGCCAATATTAATGCCTCATATCGAACGTCTAGTGCAGGACAACCAAGAGGCGAGCCAGAGATGCGCCGCCGAAATGATAAGCGCCTTAATTCGCGGATCGAAACATTGGCAATACAGCAAGGTAGAGAAAATGTGGACAAACCTCATTCCTATAATAAATACAGCGATTGTGAATATGCTCAACGAAACCCAAACGGATTGGGCTCTTTGCATATCTATGGCTTTACAATCTCGCGATCCCAATCGAAACCATTGGTTGTTGGAATTTCTTATGGACGAGCCACTGAAGGATTCCACTTCATTCGTGACTTGCGCGCGACTTCACCTGTTGTCCATCGCGGTCAGCCAACAGTCATGGCGCAACGCGGAAATATTCAATAGGATGTTCAATTATTTCAAGCCGCATTTGGCCCACCCTTTTCAGAACGTTAGGGAAAAAATCAGTTCGTTTTTGACGTTCATATTTGGCAAGGATCTTGTTTTCCCAAGCGGTAATTCGACTCGGGGGCCGAAGATCGAAGAATTTTTCGACGAAGTGTTCGGAAAACTCGAGAGGCTGTACGAATACATGCTGACCAAGTCGGATAATGTCGGAAAAATGGAATCGAGCTCCGAAGTGGCACTTGCCAGTAGTTCGGTTGCCAGTAAAAAGGAGGAGCTAATAAGATTGTTTAAAGTTGGTAAGTTTGAGATATACCAGGTGACACAAGAAAGTGGAAACACTCTGTAAGCGGTTTGACGCAACCAATTGAAAATTGAAATTTGGGTGGCTTAATATAAACCACACATACAATTTTTCGACACTATGAAGTCAGTGAAAGCGGAAACTGCGGTACCTAAAAGTTATCTTTAAATGGAACTATATTTTTCAGATTTTTGGATGCTGGAACCATACTACTTAGGATAATGTCGTTTTTCCAATCTTAACCTTGACGATTGTATTAACCACTAAAAGTACAGTTGAGTTGTTTTCGCGTTTTCGAACAAAAAACAGAAAACAGTAACAATCAATAAGTTCAACTTAGTTCAAAAAAATTGCTAGTACTAAACAAAATGATGAAAATGATCGCCATTAAATTCGTTGTAGACACTACTACTTAAGAATTTTCGCATGTCTTTTTTTAACTTCCCGTATATTGGAAACTAAGCATTTGCAGACGTACCTTTCCAGGGCATTTAAAAAAAAATGCGAAAAACTTCAGAGGGTCATTGCTTGTTTAAAATAATCGGTAAAATCCAACCAATCGGGGATGTCGCGCTACAAATATTGCGGAAAAATAACATTTTTTTTTTTCTTAAAATCTAAAATAGATAGAACAATAAAATATTACGGGAGTATTATCATTACTAAAGACCAAAATCGTCAAGTCATCCAGAATGGTGGAACAAACACTTGATAAAAATTAAGAAATTGCTGTACCAAAAATAGCTATCAAGAAGACAGAAAACTCTACCCCAGTACAAATACAGAAGTGAAAGCAAAAGTGACAGAATGAAACTAAAAGAAGATTAAATGGAATTTTAAAGAACCGTCAGATAAAAATGAATGAATTTACTTCCAATTACTATAGAAGAAATGGAAAAGTCGCTGTATGAAATGGAAAATGGCAAATCTGCAGGATCTGGATGATCCCAGTAGAATTTGTAAAGCAAGGACCAATTTATTCTTAAAGAAAAATTGACAAATTCTATAAACTTTCCCAGTTTGGTTGAAAGGTTGTATGGTCGCATTAAAAAAGCTCATTGACTCATATCTCGATAATGAAGAACAGAGTGGCTTTAGAGCGGATAGGTCTTAGATAATATATTCACATTAAGACAACTTTTGGAAAGGAGAATAGCAAGAAATGTCAATACCCATTTAGTGTAGATTTGTAAAAGGCCTATGACAGGTTCCCCTGTCCAAACTTTTTGAAATATTGTAATGGTTCACTAAATTCAGCATACCTTAGTTATATTTTTAATCATTATAAAAACTCGATATGCTGTACAATAACAAATTGAAATAAAAAAAGGCTTAAGACAAAGATGCTTCCTTTCACCTACACTTTTGAAATTATACGCCGTGAAAGCCCTATGAAGATGGTGCAGAATATGTCATGGGTGGTCAAGTAGATAACTACTTACTTTTTGCTGATGATCAGGTGATTATTGCAAATGGTGCAGGCGACGTACCATACATGTTGAGAAAATTACTAGAGGAGTACAAAAACTAGGTCTAAAACTTAATCTCGAGACAACGGAATATATCATAGGAGGATGACGAAATGACTTTGTCCATATTTTTTATGTTTTTAAAACGAATGGAGGTAATTAACAGCAACAAAATATATGTTATTTTTTGTTTTATTTAGAAACTCTTGCCTCCAGCAATTTTGCATAATACTTACCGTTTGAAAATAAAAAAACAAATTCCAAAGCAATGCACAACAGTATGAAAAATGTATTAGATAAAAAAATCTAGTGGGCCGCTGTCACTTAAGGCGTTTCTTATATTGCTTAAATATGAATAAGTTAATCAATAATTTGGTATGTAACATTTGATTGTTCAATAATAAGATTGAATTACACTAATGCAGAAATGGATATGCATCTTATGTACTGTCGTACAAATGGAAATTCCTTGGAAGGTTTACTTTTTTTTTAATTTGAAAACTGGAAGTTTTATGAACAAATTGGGATTGGAATAGTCTAATTCAATCTCTATTCATTTTAATAGAATTAAAAAAGTTTAGAGAAAGTGTATTTTATAACAGTAATAATTTATTGCTCTATCTATTTTCGTATACGATAAAAAGTAACAGTTATTTAACAATTATTTTTCCGCCATATTAATAGTTGGCTTTCGACCCGACGTTTATACATATAGTAAACCACTATTTATTTTAAACAAGGAATCAGCCCCGCATTTGTTTTGAAACACTCTGTACTTGAACTTTTTTTTTGATGATGAATGTTTAGCCGAGCTTTGGGGTATGTTTGTTGAAACACCCTATATATAGGTTTGTGAGTCTGGTTGGGAAACGCTCAATTTGAAATTATTTAAAACATAAGTTTTCATTTTAATCAAATGTTTTTTTTTGTGCAGCAATTTTAGTTATTTTTATTTTGAAAAAGTAGGTAATCTGTGTCTCCTTATTGAAAATTTTCAATAATTGTAGGGTTGAAAATCATCCCGCAGTTTTTAAATCCAATCTATTTTACCACTTTTTTGGCTTATTGTTTCATCTATTTTTTATAATTCATAGTTTTTTTTAGTATCCAAATTTGTATCAACGAGCATGGTGAGAGCGAATTTTGCAGCAAGACCAGAATTTTTCAAGTTACTACCGCTGGCAGCCATTTTGCAATCATACGAGACGGATGAAGAGGTGTCGAATTTAGCCACAAACCTGATCGTAGTATTGGCCCAAACGATGACCAAGGAACTGTATTTGCCATATGCCATTGAAGCAATTAAAGTTATATCGAAATGTCCATTATGGTCGGCGAGGTCCATAGGGTCGGAATTTATCCCAATTTTTATATTCTACAATATGGCCACGATAAATAAGAATAAGAAATTCGTAGAAGAGGTAAATATTGATATTACATCCACTTAATTAAACCGGAAGAGTACCTGACATTCATATGAACTACTTTATCCTTTTCAGATACAAAATATTGTGTTGGAGCTTCTGGAAGATGACCAAGTAGAAGTTAGAATTGCCGCCGCTCATATTTTTAGCAATTTGCTGCACTGCCACTTCATCCCTAGTCCGTCTGACTTGCTGGTAATATATAACTGTTATATCAAGCCACCTGACCCACATAAATTTTAAATAGAAAATCACTCGCCTCCTCACTCACAGAGGTATATTAAAACAAATCAAGAGCCCTGTTTTCAGGAAACTATAAAGATTCTAAAACTATGGACATTTTTATTTGAAGACAACTCTCTCCAAGTAGTTTTCCACCAAACTAAAATGTTGGTGAACCCCTTCACAGTGCAAAGCATATACCCTTGATTTAAAAAAAAATCCACCCGATTTTTAACTTTTATTAGAAATTGCCTCGTTTTTTTCTTTTATTTTCAACACTATATATAAATTTCTATTCTTGAACAATGTAGCCAGATGTTATAAATTTTTTCAGTAAAAACCAGAAATCCAAGATTATTAGTTGCATACCAAAATCGACATTTGCCAAGCTGTGATTGCAAATAAATGATATTTGGCCAAATATTAACTGTAAGGTCTCATTACCAATTTTTTTGCTGAAAACAGAAAGTTGTTTTAATTTTGTCGCGGTAATAAAAAGAAGCAATTTAATTAATTTTTTTTCTTTGAAAATCATTAACAAAAGTCACTACTATTATTACAGTTTTATTTTACTGTAGTATTATCGAATTAATTACATATTATAAAAGTTTTGTTTTTAATAAATCTTAAAGTAATATATAAATGATTACGATGTTAGTTGCATAATTGATGCATTAAAATAATTTTTGTGTTGTTTTTCAAAATATGCAAAAAATTTAAGGCTACGTTCAAACAAAAGGCCAGGACGAAGTTGAAGACTAACAAAATGAAAGAAAAGAAATCAATGCAGCAGCACCTGCTGATTAGACATGCAGGTGTCTTAGGATTGTGCTCGTTTATCAGCGCCCATCCTTACGACGTACCTGACTACTTGCCCGGCATTTTTGCAGATTTAGGATCACATTTAAGCGATCCTCAGCCTATACCAGTGAGTAAAATCTACCGAGAGCATTTTGTTGTCTATGGCCGAAAATTTCAGGCTACGATAAGGAAAACCATGAGTGAATTTAAAAGAACCCATCACGAGAACTGGGAATGTCACAAGTTGAAATTTACCGAAGAGGAGTTGTCAATTTTGAGTGATCTGTTGGTGCCTCCGAGTTATTATGTTTAATAGTGGAAATACTTTGAATATTTTATTAATGATTTTATTTTGGACCTTTTTTCTTTTTAGTTTTACATAGTTATATGGTGCATCATAGTCCGGGAAGTTGATATTTTTTAAATAAAATTATTCGGTTTTAATTCGACTTAAATTATATAGGATATAACAGCGGCAACTTCGTTATAGACAAACCATAAGTCTTGCGCTGTGTAACCCAAGTTTCCGAAAGGGGAAAAAAGAGTTAGTAAGAAATGAACTATGAAAATCGGGTAGGGAAGATATAATAAAAGCCTACCCTAAGTGAGACCCTTTATGAAGGTGTGATCCCATCTGGTACATAATAAGCTTTCACTTGGGTGTATAAATAGGCAGGAAATCTAAAAATTACGAGGAGTTTACTTGAGAACACGTGCGTACGTCAGTCGGTGGCAGGTCTCTTATTCAATCAAGCGAATATCCTCGCGCACGTAAAAAAAAATATCGTGAATCTGCTGCGCCTACATTTAAATTTTATGATTATACGCAACAATAATCATTAACATGAATGACATTATACTGCCCTAGTAAGGGCAACGTGGTATTAAGTCAATGGACGGTCCTAGAATTAAAAAAAAAAGAATTGAGTAAATTATTTTCGAGTTTCTAAAATGGCCCACAGGAGGCGTAATTGTGGTCTTACCTCATCGTTTTAAAACTGAGACAAATACAATATCTGTAAAAGGTGTTCAGACATCTTCGGAAATAAATGTAGATAACTCCAAAAGGGCTTAACATATAAATGTATAAACTTAAAGTTGGTTTTTCCACTACTATCGTGAAGTGCAATACGTCTTTTTTACGTCAGACAAATAAGGACCTAAAATGTGACTAGATAAAACTGTTGCCTCAGGGTTTTGTTCGGTGGTTTGTGGTGTTCCATTCTATGGTCTTGAGAAGTTAGAATGTTGTATTTATGTGCGCTGAATCGACGGAGAAGGGTTGTTTTATCATACTAACTACCCGAACCCAGAGGGAGGTGAGTCGGATCTGACTAAAACGAATTCTTTTGTTGTACGCACTTCATTGACACTCATTGTTTTGAATTTTAACGTGTACGATCTCGGTACGGCACGGTAGCCGTTGGCCAACAACACAAAATGGGTTCCTCCGGGGGACCGAAAATGCCTCAAGGGAAAAGATATTCGAAGTAATAGGCGTTAATTCTCGACACATTAATAAAGACATACAAAAAAATAAAGACAATGCAAGCTATAATAATAAGCAGAATGATACCAACAATCATGCATTAAAACAAAGTTTCTTTTATGGCCTACAAGATTGTGGACCATTTGTAGTTTACATAGAATCCACACAAAAGGAAAGTAATGTGGGAAGATGCTCCAGTCTAAAAATTGCTCGCGAATTATTTAATCTTAAACTAAAAGATGTTTTTAAAATTAATAATAAGGGCCTTAACAGAATCTCTGTGGAATTTAATAATTTTCAAGCGGCAAACCATTTCTTAAAAAATGAGGCGCTCGCGGGGAGGGGTTATAACCCATACGTTCCTGGAAATTTTGAGTCCTGCAAGGGACTTGTTAGAAAAGTTGATCTAGATGAAGACATAACGAAGTTTTCTCAATTTTGTAGGGCAAATGTAGAAATACTCTATGCTAAACGCTATAATCGCAAAGTCGTGAAAGACGGACAAGCAGAATTCATACCAACAAAAACTATTTTATTCACATTTAAAGGAACAATTCTACCGAAACCAGTTAGTTTATATGGCCTACCCTATCCGGTGCTGGTCTACATACCACCAGTGACGCAATGTTACTCATGTCTGCTCTACGGGCATACAAAAAAAACTGTAAAGGAAAAGACAACTGTGGGGATAAGAAACATGACAAAGATGATGATGATTCCCATTCATGTCCCACTAAATGTTATTTTTGTAGGGGTAACCACAAAACCACTAGTAAGACGTCCCGAATATATAAGGCAGTAAAATAATAAGAAGTTGATGGCCTTTGAAAATTTGACTTACTATTTTGCAGAAAAAATGTGTCCAAAAACATATATTCAAAAGGATGAATACCTTTATGACCCCAGAAATTTCCCAAATCATGACCGACCCGCGAAGCGAAGTTTACCAGAGCAGGAGACGATCATTCCTTCCCAGAGAAGGGTGACTGATTTTAATACAGGTAGGAACAAAAGATCATATCAACAAGTAGCTTCAACCGATCCAAATAAAAAGAGAATAGTACAAAAATCTTATGACAAAGTAGAACACAACAAAGAATTATATTTCCGAAACGCAAGAACAGAAAAAAGTGATTGGAATTCATTTATAAATGACTATTCTCAGTCGAATGAAGTGCCTACTAATAGTGCCTTGAATCAGAGCTATGGATCAAAAGAGAACTCACCTATCGATGAAGCTTCACTGGTAAATTCTATTTTAGTATTGTTTTAAACTACTTAAGTAACAATAGTTATATGGACTGGGAGTCCTTAAGGTATTGGTAGCAAAGTGCCCTCTAACACGGACAGCCAAAGAAGAAAAATAACCATCCAATTCAACAACCTGAAAATTATTCAATGGAACATTAGAGGTGTTAAAGCCAATAGATCGAACCTAATAACGCTAGTTAGAGAACAAAAACCAGACATAATATGTTTGAACGAAACATGGCTAAAGACGGAATCCAGTTTGTATTTAAAATCATACAATATCTTGAGACAGGATAGGAAGGACGGATACGGAGGTGTGGCAACATGTATTAGGAATAATTTTATCTAAGGTAAAAACTTTTAATGACGAAAGCACACAGTACATTATAATCAAAATAAGCGATTTAAACATAATTAATATTTATTCTAACTCTAATAGCAATAAAGCAAACCATTTTTTCGAAGGACTCACAGATAATGCAGTCCTTATGGGTGACCTTAATGCCCACCATCCATTATGGGATGAAGCTCCTCAGAACAGGGGAGGAAACCTGATAGCAGATTTTGTTACTTTTAACGATTATGTAATTGTAAATGACGGCTCACCAACCCTGTTCTAGCCACCGCAATCACCAGTTAGCACAGTCGACTTAACAATAGTACCTAACAATATAGCTCACTTGCTTGGGAGGTTTTGAACGACTGCAGGAACAGTGACCATTTCCCGATTGTCGTGGAGTTCAAGAACGGAAACTTTATTAATCGAGGACACAAAATGATTTCTTTCACCTATCGGAACTTTGGTAGGAGGAGAAAACTGGCAGCGTTCTTTCTGGCTGGAGTCCTAGCCATTGCGGACCACCCTTTAACAGACCTCATAGAGAATCTCCGAAATTACTTTGGTAGGTACGGAGGTGATATAGAGATGATGATAGAACAGAGTGTGCCCCTACCTGGTCCAGGCATTTAATATATATTTGCCTTACCGTAGCAGACTTTACTCGAGTGCGACTTTCCCGTGCTTTAATGTAGACTTTTTAACTCTATTGCCCCTATCGAACCACTAAGCTAAATATAAATAGCTAAGCTAAATATAAATAGAGAAAATGCGGAAGCGCATTTTAGAGAGAAAATAAAGAAATATATCCAAACACATTGTCTGGTTTTTACTGATGCCTCTAAACAGGGTGAATATCAAACTGGACATACATGGCGTGAACGGTGGAAAAACCCAATACAAGACAAAGGTAAAAGATATAGAAAGTTAATACAACGTAATTTTCCTAATAGAAGATGGTTTTCTGAGCTTGCCTACATAGACAGACGCCATATAACTACTACAATTAGAATGAGAACTGGACACTGCGCGGTGGGGGAACACCTGGCCCGGATAAGGGTTAGGGACTCTCCTTTCTGCGAGTACGGCGGGATTGAGAAACTTAATCATATATGTTTCGTGTGCCCTATAACAAGGGTCCCTGGTGTGGATTTATACTTAAACTTTAGAAATTTCGGACTTAACTTACCACTTTGTGTTGAAAATATGTTAAGCACACCGAGTGCGGAGATCATACAAATGGTCATATGCTTTTTAGATTATAATAGGATAAAACTTTAAGTTAGGAGTCGAGGTCGGACAGCCTCTCCCTAGTAACAATACCAGGGAATTTTAAATTGTATGTATTTGATTCTGTTGTTTTGTCTCAGATCTGACGAGCCTGGTCCCATGGTCGATCCTAGGCCAGGAACGCTCGTCCCAAGTACTGGAATTTGTTTGTCCTTTTTTGTTTTTAGATGTGACAGTCTTGCCTGTTTGTCTGTGTTTTTTGTAAGCTCTGAACCTGCCTACTAACTGACTCTATCTCCTTAGCAGCTTTAGATGCCTCTTAAATAGAACCAGAAGTCTGAAAAGTAAACTTCCCCAGGAAAACATTCTCGATAATCTGGGGCAGTTCCAAATAGTGCTGGCAAATTGCCTAGTAGCAGCGCCAACCTCAAAAGAAGAAGACTTGTAGTGCCTTGTAAGGCTCCAATACGACATGGTGGCAGCTGTAAATGTGCAACAAGTCTGTACAGTTGTGAAGAGGATGTAAGCAGATGGTGGACCAGGAAAACGTCGACGTTTTTCGACCAGGCACACACACAACAGGCGGTCAAGTACCAGGTGCTGGTAATCAAACAGACGCTGGAGGTGGACAACCTGGGACCGGTAGCCTTTCGGAATTAATTGCGCTCCGGAATATTTCAGCTTGAAATTTAACAAAATTTTATCGGGAATTAAAGGCGTTGTTCCGCATATCGACGATATTTTGATTTATGCGAGTACAATGGCAGAACACGATAAGATATTGAGACAAATCTTGACTAAGCTTGCCAGCGAGGAAGTCACATTGAATAAAAGTAAATGTTTCTTTGGGGTTTCAAGAATCAATTTTTTGGGTCACTGAATTTCTGAAAAAGGAATAGAAATTGAACATTCTAGAGTGGAAGCTATTTCAAAATTCCCTGAGTCAACTTGCAAACGTGAATTACAACAATGGCTGCAATGCTATTGCAAATAAATCGGAAATTTTAGCTCCTTTAAATGAATTACTTAAAAATAACATAACCTTCACTTGGAAATCAATTTAAAAAGAGGCTTTTCAGAAAATAATATCTCTACTGAAGCAGGCACTTTGTTTAGCTTTTTACGATCCAAATAAAAAGATTATAGTCAG